TTATCTCGAAAATTATTTGAAAATGGTAAGTACAAAAGTTGTGATGATATCATACACAATTTAAAATTATTTTAAAGTTTACAGAGTGGCTCAAAAAAGAATGGCATATAAAATTTACATTTTTTTAAATGGGACACCTCCATATTTCCCCACAAAAAAAATGAGTGGTATTAAGTCACATGATTGAGGGCGCTATCCAACGAATTCACTTCTACCAGTCCATTTCTATAGGTAATGATTAATTTTAAATTCTTGAACGTCTGTTTGTTGGATCTCAATGTTATCAATTTAAAGTTGAGGTAAATCATTCCGCAACAATTTAAATATCTAGATAACTTAAAATTGTATTAGTGCACACCGCACATTATTTTGAATCGGCCTCTATTGCTTCATTGATACGGGTGCAGAAATTTATACTTTGTCAAAATTCAACTTCGAATCCACATAGTACAAAAATATCCTAAAACTGTTTCTGTTAGAAGTTAAGGAAAATTTCTTTAGTCTTTCCATGATTATGATTGTCTGTACTATTCTGGTGGACATGCCTTGTGCAAATTAAAATCAGTAAAAATCTTAAAGTATTAAAAACAGCCACTTGTAGTCGCTTGATACTGGAGATGTAATTATGTCGAGATTGCAAAAATTTTAATTTTGTTGTCCTATAAGTATGTTGGTCTGTTGACATAGATTTCCTTTCCTTGCACGTTGACATTATTTAAATGAAATTCCCCAACTAAATGTTGCTCCCTGCACAATTTGTTTGTTTCAGCATTTTGTATGTAAGACAGAGGTTAGGACAAACAGGCGAAATATAAATAATGAAACCATCTGTGAAGAAAATTGACTCGAATTGTAATCTCCTTAAAAATGATGTACGTGAACCAACACACCTACTTTTTCTTTGCAAATATCAGCCACATCTAGTTGATCTGTTATTATGATAGTGATTGCTAGTTTGGTTTAATTTGCTTCGTGGTTTAGGTACTATTATCAAAATTAGTTTTAGTGACAATTCAATCTCATGAAATTTCATTCCTAGAAAGGAAAAATCTGTTTGAATAATTTAATATAAGTTAATTTTTTTAATCAGCTAAAACTGATACATCTACGTATGAGTACCATAGAAAAAGCAATGTGAAATTCGCGATGCTATAAAACACTTCCATCAAAAATGGGTTATTGAAAATTTTTCCCTATAGGTATATGTTTCAATAACTACTTGATATGGATTAATTATATCTTAAAGCCACCGTATCAGGACATAATTAGTAGGTTTTTACGTAATTCATTATTCACTTAATTATGATAATTATTTGTATTATTATGTTTCTTAATTTGGATTTCCTGATAACGGTCCCTTTGAATGTCTGTTTATATATACGTGGTTCCAACTAATTCGTTTACAGCTAGAATGACTTTGAAATTAGAAAAATGTTGTCAATATTAAAGCGCGTTATGAATTTGTTTTTCCACTTCGTCGGAATTTTAGGAAAACAGAAAATTAAGATGTTCTGTTATTTTTTACGATCTACAACATGGTATTCTAAGAGGTTGCCTACGAAGTTTCGTTTCCAAGAATCCATCATCAACTAGAATTTTTTAAACGGGCATTCTAAGAATGACAGTTTTTTCCATTTTTTGTTGTGATTGTAAAAAATAGAGTTCAGTATTTAAAAAGGAAACATCGGTCTTCTAAGTAAAGTCAGTATGGAAGTAATAAGTACCTTTAGCAGTTTCCAAGGTCTATTGTTACCAAGAAATATGTGCAGAACATTATGATGATGCTTAACATGAAATAAGTACGGTAGTAGTATTTTCAGTGCTAACGTAACTGAATCAATGATTCTACATGTCCGCCTATCTTTAAGAACAATATTTTTTAGTGTCTAATCGAAAGAAATATGGATCTTGACTCTCATAGCCACAGAGTCAGAGCTTCCAGCGTCTCCGAAAATTATTGGCAATAGGGCTACATTTCACCAACTAACCTCGACCTGGCGTCGATTTCTTCTCATATGTGCTTCATACCTCTATTATCGGCATAAACAGGACTATGGCTGCAATGTATGACTACACAGTGCGGTTATTTTAGTTACTAACTGTACAAGTACAATACTTTACCAACAGTTGGTGTATGATGTATAAATATGTTAGGCACACTTAAAATATTATATATACAGGGTAGGATAAAATACAAAAATTGCACAAGAGTAAAGTTCAAGGAAACTTCCACATACCACACCATTTACAAATCTTTTGGATTCCTCCTGCGTCGGTTGTTGATACATCGAACTTGCTCGGCTTCCTCAGAACTCAACTTAAACAGTTTCAAGTGGACAACAGGATGATTGGCGAATCGTCAGCAAGTTTGATTTATAAACAACCGAAGCAGGAGGAATCCCTAAGATTGATAAATAGTAAGAGTAAAGTATCCTTAAATAAGACAAGTTGTTCGGAATCAAAAGTTGTTTTTATATCAAAACAAGGCCTGCTAAGATTAAAAAAAAGTGTGAAAAATATGAAAAATTTCTATTTTTTTTTCAACAATTTTAAATACTGGCGCAAATTATTCATAATCAAATCAATTTTGCAAAATTTTGTTGTAATTTGTTGCCACAAAATTTAATAAAACTTAAAATTTATATTAAGAAATTGTCATTTAAATAGCAGAATATTAATTTTTAATTTTTTATAGTACCTACTGTGTATCATCACTGATATCCATTACCTAAAGAGCTGAGACTTTGGAGTAAACGTTATGACATTGATTGTTATTGTCAAATAGTAAATAGTTGCTTGATTATAAAAATATATATATTTCAAATGCCTCCAAGACAGTTAACATTGATTAAGTTAGCAAAGTTAGTTTTAATATCTAGAGATAATTATGAACCAGCACATGAAGAAGCAGATATCTTGAATAGGCGACATCTAGATAAACAAACAACACTATTAATAGTGTTATAATAATAGAATTTTAACTAGTTTCAAACAGACGGAGTTCTTGGAGTTTAAACGCAATAAGAATAAACATCTTCAAACTGCATGTGATGAAGGAAATAAACCAAAAGTACTTCAGGCAGTCTTTGAAAACCGTAGATTCAACAAATTTCGGATTCTATATAGAATTTTTATAAAAAATTTTAAGTGTTATTGAATGTCATGGCCATAAAACATTTGTGTTTCACAAAAAAGGTTTGTCTAATTTTACAATTTAAACGGACCTGAGACAAAAATTTGCGACAGTATTTAAAATTATTGAAAAAATATTTTTTTTTTACTTTGGTAATATTAATAATATAGTATTAATTGTTAGTACCATTTTGCTCAATTTTTTGAAATAAGGGTACCTCATGCAATTTTTGCAATTTTTCGTAAGATTAATAATAATGAAAAAAATAATAATCGACTTTATTCAAAACAAAGAAAATATAAATATATTCAGGGTGAAGTGTAATCTAAGGCTATTCAAACTTATCCCTAGTTAACCAGACTAAAATCTAGTTGATGCAGATAGCGTGTAAACTTATAACTGTACGCATTAAGATAAATTGTGTGCCAAAAAGAAAGTGAATATATCATTATCTACTGTTTCCAATAACACGACTACAATAACAAATTTATGTAAAAGAAACCAATAAATTAATTAAAAAGAAGAACAAAGAAAAATCAGAGTTCAGCTTGAATTTATTTTTAAGACTTTCGAAAGTAAGAAAAGAGCTTTATGCTAACCATGTACAAGACAACACCCACGAAGTTAATTATTTTTTTCTACTCTCGTCTGTAAAATGCCTATTTACACACCGATCTAGCGTGCGGGAAGCGCTAGTTTGGTATCCCACGGATCCGAGTCACTTCGGACATTTCCTGGATTTTCCGCACGGGTTTAGGAGCAATCGGATGCTCTCGGAGCCATTTCCCATGCTTTGAATTTTGACGTTTGTCAATTCTGACGGTCATGTCAGTAAATGAATTCGTGTTGTTTTGCGAAAAGGTACGCAAAAACTAACGGTCGTAGAAGTAGAAAAAGAGAATTTTGTTCCGTAAAGAGCAAATTGCAATCAAGCAGAACACCACTTACTTGCCGGTTCACTAAATGTTATATTGTGGAACTCAACGCTAATACTCAAATTTGACATTTGTCTTCTTGCCAAATAGCATTAATCTGAATTCGGATACAATTAGTTTTAGCGCGTGTTGCTCAGAAAGATCCTTTAGTAGAATTAAATCGGTACAAAGAATGTAATAACAAAGCTGTATGTCATCAGCAAAAGTTTGCACCTTACCTGAGGTAGAACATTTGAGGAGCTCTTTAGTGTAGATTATAAAAAATAGAGAAACCACACTACTGGTGTTTGAAAAAAATCCGTCCACCAAAACTTGTTGTGACCTTTCACAAAAATAAGATCTGACAACATTTAATGATCCATTCTCCACCTAAGTGTGGATAGTGGGTGGTATTTGGATAATCGTATCGAATACTTTGGAGTAATCAAGCAATGCAAAGACGCTCTCTAGACCGCGATCACGAGCCTAAATAATATCTGTAACCACCGCAAGGGCCGAAGATGAGCTAAATCCTTTACGAAACCACTACTGCACAACCCCAATAATTTTATATAAGTATTTTAATTGTGCAGTTAGTATAAAAAGTCCCATATGTTGCACCAACTGCAACATTACATCATCCTCGATCGTAGTAATTGAAATCTATCTGCCCTCTCTTGCTTTCGTCGTATATTGCGGAAGATTAATAATTAGAACTGATTTTTTAATTCCGTTTTTTACGTTTCCCATATTTTTATTCAATATGTCATATTGAATAAAAATATTTTTAAAAAATAACCACGTTTACAAATTCTTATTATACGATAGGAACATATTTCGAAGAGGACCACTGCTTGCCTTTATCTAACCTACCTACGTGTGCTCCTTTTCTAAACTATTGATATATTTTTTACGCTTGTCAGAAATATTTATACGATTTTTTTATTTTTCAGAGTGTGGCAAATCTACGGTGAAAGGGGGTCGAACATCCCCGTCGGTCCGATCCCAGCCATCGCAAAACAACCGCGCGACCGTCAAACAGCAACCCCCGGTACCCCGTGTCGCCGAAGCCCTAGCAGTTCTAGTCCAACATCTAGTTTTCAATGTAAGTATTCATTTGAAGCAAATATAATACAAATTAAATTATAGTTAAATAAATATAAATATTTGAATGATTAATAATAATTATTTTAAATATTGTTGTTCAAATTATGTAATTTTATCACTTCCAACTTATTTCGAAAGGAATAGCAAGTGACACACAAAATCAATAGTAAATGTAAGCTTAGATGTTAAGTAAATGAGCCCTAAGTTGTTTTCATTTCTAACTCAAAATTTATACAATTTATTAATTCTAAGGTTGAATTGAGAAATTGAGAAAAAAACATAAACAAGTAGAGTTTAACAATTATTTTTTTCTACTCTCCTCTGTAAAATGCCTTTCGTTTCCGACGGACTCGAGCCACTTCGGACATTTCCGGGATTTTACCCCTCGGGATTGGAAGCAATTGGATGTTTTCGGAGATATTACCTGCGCCTTGAATTTTGACGTTTGCCAATTCTGACGGTCATGTCGGTGAATGTATTCGTGTTTTTTTTTTGCGAAAATGTATCCAAAAAGTATGCAACACGTTCGGTCACTCGTTTATTAAACAGTCGCTCCGCTCGTGTCAAATATACTCGTAAGTCAAATGCCGTTTACCGCACTTCTTGCATAATATACTATTTCCACTCCCTTCCGCAAAATAGCCATTTTGTAGACATAATATTTTGAAACAAAATTGCCGTAAAATGCCGTGTCTACACTTATTGATGATCAATCGGTGGTCATGTCGTCAAGCTTTTTTTCATAGTTGTTCATATGGGATTTTTATAATAACTGCACACCTAAAATACTAATACTGCCAAAACTTGGTGCATGTTCCGTGATAATATATCAAATTTACTAATTGCAACAATGAAATAAAAGAGTACAATGATTTATTGATATAAATTGTTAGCATTTTTTATTTTACCAAACTTTAGTCATTAGTGTTTCAATTGAAACACAAGATAATATTATTAATATTTATTTATTCAAAACATAAGTTAATAAACAATAGAAATAATGTATAAAAAAACAATAATGAAAAAACATTCTGAAAACACTTTATAGGCATTTAATTATTTAATTATATTTTTAAAAATTCTAACGTCCTAGATAAATACGGCATACTTAGTAACAAAAAAATACTCGAGAAACTCTGTGTCGTCAATCTTCTCATATATAAATATAATCAAACAGTGACAGATCGTATTGTTGATTTTATATTATTTTTCTAATCCCTTCTGTAAAATAGCCAATTATACACCGATCTAAAGTGCGGGGAACGCCACTTTCCATGTGAGTTTCTTGTCCCACGGATCCGAGTCGTTTATTAAACACTCACTCCGCTGCGCTCCGCTCGTGCCAAATAAACACGTAACTCAAACGCGGTATAATATACTATTTATTTAGATTAACGAGTGTCAACACTAATGTCAATGTGCTGCTGATTTCCTTGGAATTCCGAGGAATTATACGTCAAACAGGAATTACGGCCCACTTTTGCCTATCATTCGCCTACAATAATTCTGAACTGAGGTGGCTTTTACTTGATGGAAATCTAGAATTTAAATTATATATTTTTATATGAAAATTGTTTCGACAACACCCTGTCTTTATCAAATGTGACATTTAGTTCTTATTTATTTCTAATTGCTAAAATTCCAACATAGTGATCAGATGCCGCCTAGAAGTGAAATTCACAACCTCGGACCTCTCTTTCTACTGCAAGTTCTCGTTCACCTGTCGCTACCTATTCAGTATTCGAAAGTGATCGATTAGGCGAGGACTTTGAAGAAAATCTGTTTGCCAAATATGCGCCTTTGTGGTTTTCGCGTTAATTTTTTTGCGGCCCGCGTTTGTTTTTGCCACCGTCGACGATGAAACTGGCGAACGTGAAAAAACTGTTCGTAAAACAGAAGACGAAATTCAAAAACTTGAAACGAAAAGTAAGTTTACTAGTTTAGTATGTATGGTCGACAAAGCTTGCGCGGCTCCAGTTTCCCCGACCAAGAATGTTTAATTTGTTAGAGATGACTGTTGACTTGCTGTTATGCGCACTGGGTTGTTATTTGTTGAAGAAATCTTCGTTGATCGCGTTGAATGCCGTGAAATGGTTAAAACGCGTGCCGAAATTTTTGACGAGGGGCGGAGATCATCTTGGGGTATGTCTCCCAGGTTTTTCATGGTTTCGCTTCCATATATTTGTTATTATTTTTATAAAGTATTAGCAAATAGTCGAGATGTGAGTGAAAAGAATTGTTTTTTATTTCCTACTCTCAAATGCACAATTAAAACGTCATTTTCGTTAGTACCACGGATGTTTACGGTCCTTTAGTCACAGGTTTGATAGCGATCGGACGTTTTCGGAAAATATTAGCCACGGATGTTATTTTGACGTTCAGCATTACTGAAGGTAACGTAACACATCACTCAAGCACTATACGATGGCTCTTTAATGTTGGGATAACACCTCATCTCTGAACCTGTAAAAAATATCAAGAAAACATAAAGACAAAACTTCAAGTTATTTTAGTGTACAAATAGTGTGTCAAAGTGTATATCTTGTTATATCTTGTGTTTTCTCTTTTTGGAGAAAAATATTATAAACAAAAGTTATAGGCTTCAACTAAAATAAAGAATTTAAAATTATTTTCACTACATTTTCAAAAAAATGAGGTCCTACAACGTTATTTCCTATTATATCACTCCGAACACTTAAGGAAAATTATGTGGGAATGCCGATTCATCCGTAACACATATTCGAAAAAATTATCTATATCAAAAATTCTTTCTTGTGCCGGTTCACAAAATGTTTATCTAATTTGATAATCGTTCTTTTTAAATTCTTGATAAGTACGTGATAAGGATGCATCTTTTTTTTGCAAAATATTATTCACAAAACTGATGATATTCATTTCATCGTTCACTACAGTTTGACTCTTTCGTTCTTTTCATAAACAACACTTCCGGTTCGAATAAAACGTTTCATCAAGTTTTCAAGCGTTCTTTTAGAGGCCTTCTATCCGGTATATTGTTTCTTGTAAACTCTCATAGCTAATAATGCATTCTTCTCTCTAGATTTCAGTAAGAAAATTTACAACACATTAATTGAGGAAACATTGGCAGGTTTCAACTTACATTTGCACTTACAGACGCGATTTGAAAGCATTATTTATAGTTTAATAATATTTTTGGCTTTAAGAAAAGCAAAATTTCTAAATTAATGGAAAGAACGGAAACATTTGTTCACAAAAATAAAAATTTCACTATTATTTTTCTTTGCTTATTGCGATATTTTCTCATAATTTGACAAATTTTCGGATTTTGTTGTTGTAGATAATAATGTGTTTATCTCAGAAAATACTAAGTGTAGGCATAATTAATAAATAAAAATATAAGTATAATATACTGGATGTTTCCTTTTATTTCTTCAAGAAAAATAATATTTTTTATTTTTACTCGAACTAACTTCAAGACAAGTATAGGATAAATGATCACTTTATAAAATTCTTGGCATAATAAAATTACGGCTATCGGAAATTACGTCAAAAATATGCAGGTTATTTTTTATTAAAAAAATGGCCATATATCCGAACACACGTGTAATAAACCTTGCAATAATATACAGGGTATTCCGTTTTAAAATATATGAGTTTGCTTTCCCGCATATTTATGAATCGCCCCATATATTTAAAAATAATTTTAAATTGTTTCTATTAGTCTTATCTATAACTTTAGTAGTAAATATATTTTTTATAAAACAAATAATAAATGAGATATACCGGGTGTTTTCTATTTGAATGTCCCTAATTAAGGGGTCCATTTTGAGAGGAATACTTCGTAGGTAGGATGGTAAAGTATTTAGTTAGTTAAAGTCATTTAGTGTATCATATCAATTGGTTTGTTTTGGCAGATATTGATGGTACGCTACTTACTGATTTCTATTAAAATAAAAATTATTCTTACAATCGCCAATTATTTCTAAAGAAATTAAATTTCTTGATTTTTTGAATCCGATGTACGGTTTTCGCTTAAAAAAATAGTTTCTCCTCAACAATTTCGTTAATGCATGCAGACAACTATTATTATTATTTCTTATTTAAGTAATTGTCTCTCTTTTATTAAAATACTTCAAAATATCGTACGAATACGTAGTATGTTTTTTTTTTTAAATAAGAATCATTTATTATTTACCTTGTGGCTAGAATGTTATATTATTTCATTAAAACTGTAAACGTAAAGAGAACAGTCTTTTAATATTTTTTTTTCGAAGGACGCTGGTTGGTAACTAAAAACTAGATACTTTATTTAGGTAGTTATTTTATATTTCACAAAAAAAAGTTCTCGATTTAACCATTGCATTGGCGACTAAATTGGCCAAAATATTATTTGTCATAGACAGCCACAGATTGCCTTAAAAAAAAAGACATTTGCATTCATTTCTGAACAGATTTGATTTCTTTAATTACTTTTTAATCCATCGCACAGTTTTCACTAAAAAATATAAACTAATTTCTGCATGCATGCGATATTGTTATTTCCATACATAGAAGAGGTTTTTTTTTTGAACTGAAAACCGCACATCCGATTGAAAAAATCAAGAAATTAAATTTCTTTAGAAGTGATTGGAAATTGTGAGAATAATTTTTATTATAAGAGAAATCAGTGGTGTACCATCAATATCTGCCAAAATAGACGGGTGAAATTCCGTACGGTCGCCACTGGTGTATTTCGAAAAAATTGTAGTACACTAAATAATGCCTCATAATACATAATACATGTGCGCCAAATTTCATTAAAATATCTGAAGTAGTATTACAAATTATAGTGTTACAGTATTAGATATATTTTGTTTTTGAAAACTTTACCACCCTTAAAATTTAAGACGTTTAGGACATATGTTTATATAAAGTGTTACTTTTTAATGGACTCAAGAATCACCCCCTTGAATTAGAAATCACCCAGTATAACTTTAAAATATTATTTTTTACACTGTGCTAAAAACTAATCAATTAAAAATGGTATGTTTGTTGGTGCAAATACAGTGTATTTATTTATAGGTGCTTTTTGAAATAAGCAATTCAATTTTTCTATATGATTTACTTTATTTTATCTAATATAACATAATATGTCAGTATACAGAGCGATAAGGTAATGAACCCGCCAAAAAGTAGTTTTTGGTTAAACTCGCAAAAATAATGGTATCGAACCACCCTCCATATGTTATCGGATGAAATGGAATGGAATGTAATGTGTTCATTGAAATGATTTCTTTTCCAGAGTGATGATTTCTAAGCAAAAAATTTATAGTATAGTTCTTTTGACCAAACATGGCGATTTCGAGATATTTGCATTGTAATTCTTTATTTCAGGTAAGTCGCTGAGCCTGAAAAGTTCTTTAAGAATAAGTAGGCTACGGATTAAAAATGAACACATTCACATTGACATTAGCGTTGCCAATTATTAATCTAAATAAAAGATCTTTGACAGTTATTTTGAATCGGAATTAAAATAGCAATATATATAGCAATATACGAATTTCACTATTTGTACCGTATTTTTGTACCTTATTAGTTTACTATAATAATAAGAAATTCATATTTTAAATGTAAAATGAATAATTACATACTGATCTAACGTGAGAAAAGCGCCACTTTACCACTTCTTGAGTTGTGACGTTTGACAATTTTGACGATCGTGACATGACTTTTTAAGTCACTCGTTCCGCTCGTGTCAAATAAACTTGTGAGTCAAATGCCGTTTACCGCACTTGTTGCATAATATACTATTTTCTACCCCGGTCTGTAAAATGCGTCACTTTACCACATCAGTTTCGTTTCCCACAGATCCCAGCCTGTTCCATTGTCGGTATTTTACCGCACGGGTTTGGGAGCAATCGGATGTTCTCGCCTTGAGTTGTGACATTTGACAATTTTGACGGTCATGTCAGTGTCATGTCATGTCAATGATTCGTGTTTTTTTTGCAGAAATGTACCCAAAAACTAATGATCGTAGACAAAAATTTTAAAAAGTCACTCGTTTATTAAACATTCGCTCCGCTGCGCTCCGCTCGTGTGAGTCAAATGCCGTTTACCGCACTCATTGCATAATATACTATTTCCAAGCTAGTTTGACAGTTACTGTTTTACTGTATCGCAGGTCGAAGCATACCAAGTGCCAAACCTTCGGCGCCAAGTCGACAAATTCCGCCTCGAAGCAGAGGAGGTGAGACTCGCGTGCCAGCATCTGGAGGAAGCACTTTCCGACGAGAAATCAAAAAATGCTGCCACTATTGAAGAGGAACGCGTCAGGTATCGGAAGGATATCACTGGTTTGATCGAGAAACATCGGAACCAAGTAGCCCAATGTAAGTTGACATCAAATACAATTTGGTTTCATTTTGAAATTGCGTTATCAATCCTCTTCAAATATGTGTCGTTACTTAATGGCAGATCCGCCATAACTCGAAAGTGCGGGAGTTTTTCGGTATAACTGTACTAGGAAAAAGCAGGGAGGAGAGATATTTTCTTTCCGTATGCATGATTGTGTCAGACAACGTTCCTGCTGGGGCTGATTAATTAGCCACTTCTTAAATGTTAATATATTTTAAATAAAATAAAATAGTAAATGTATTCTAGTAATACGTATTTTATAATCAATTATTAGATGTTTGTGATGTCCAATTTACACTCAGGAGAAAAATGCGTTTTAAAATGCACAAGAAATCACCTTGTACTAAATCAACTTTTTTGTCCAATTCAACTAATCAAGATATAATGTTTTAGGTACCTTTGAAAATTTTATGATATTGATTTGCTAATAAGTTATTAGTTTTTACTTACAAACATCAACGATTTTCTTTTTTTCTATATTTATTGTATGGCTTATAAGTTTTTAACAGAATTATGTTCAAAACAAATTATACACTTGCTTATTACAAAAGGAAGTTCTTTTATAATAATAAGGTCACTACATTAATCAAACTTGAGCGTTTATATTTTAAGTGCGGTCGGTGGCTACTTCTAAAAAACATTTTAAATAGAAAAGAGGGTCTGTTGTCATGTGTCTTTTACCAGCCAATGATAAAGCGTCTGCACGCTCCATTTTGATAGTGTTGTTGTGTTGTTGGTTAGTGACCGCTGTTTGCAATTTCAATGTCTCCAAGTTCTTGTAACCGTTTTCTTGTTATTTTCTAAAAATCGATGAGATCGAATTTTTGGTTGTGAGAGAAGTTAATTTTTTTAATTTTTGGCAATAAGCAAACAAACAGTGTGGAATGTATATGATATATGGACTGTATAAAATTACGCATTGCAAAATAGTGCAACCAAGAAAGGGTGAAAGATCACACCTAAACATTCTTAACCCATATTATACCAAGCACAAAAAAAAATAAAAAAATACTTTTTGCTCTGAAATTATTTATTTTGTTGCACTTAAGAATACATTACATGTGTCAAAAAAAAAATAAAAACTCGAATTCAAAAAAATACTGGTGCGAAAACGGACCACTAGGAACAAACATCAAATAATGTTTTGGGGCGCATAAGATGTATCATATAATTTATACATAAATATACAAAAGAAAAATCAAATTCGGCAGAAAACAAGTAAAAGTAGATTGTTCTCCAAATAGAACCTGATTTAATACAAAGAAAACGCATAATATTTTATGCTGCGTGAGCGCACTACTGGTAACACCCGGTTTCATTTTTGGTGATATTTTACAAAGCGTGAAGCATGTAAATGCACACATTACACTTATTACAAGTGTAAATTGTGTATCTGTGGCAGATTCTACATCTCCTTCGGACTTTATTGGCATGAACAATCATGAGGTGACCTTGATTATCATAACGCACTTCATCTATGGCAGGTGCAAGATTTCTTTGAGTAATTGTTTTATCCGTTTTTAAAAGTCGCAAAGCAATGTAACATTTTAAATCAAATCAATCACCTCGTCATAAAAAATCTGACCTTTCTTCCATTTGACAGTAGAAGCAAGGCTGTCGTTTACAGAAAGCATACTTCTTTTTTTGAATTCCAGGGTTTCATCATCTGATGAGTCCCATTCAGGTTCAGTAGTTGATGAATTACAGGACTGTTGAAGGACAGCCGTATCATTCGGTGCATGTAACTTGAAAGTTCCAACTATATCAGTTGGTTCCCCAAACCTTCTTAGATTTATGCTGTCGTTCATATCTTCTTCGTCAGTCAAGGTATCCACGTCGGGTGGAATATTTTTTGTACGAATTTTCAATAAATAGAATGCTACAATACATAAGAATATGTAAATCCAAATAATACTTACTACTTTCATTGTAATTGTCCTCATCCATCACAGTCTCTTCCATAGCCGCCTCTATTTCCTTTTGAGTCAAACACCTCGGAAATAATAATTTTGCGAACTGTAACTTTCACTGCACAAGGCACAAACTACTGAACTACTGAAGAACACGCTAATTGTTGGATGTTTATTCTACATGCACTGACTTGTCTAGACTTGCAATAACAAAGTTTTGTTTCACAGATAAAACCAGTGGTACGCCAGTAAATATTTTGAAAAAATAAAGCATAATCAATAGAGTATTTCCAATGTATGTTTTCTGCGATGTAATTTACATGCTATAGACTTAACAAAAATGACAATACAAATCCAAAATATTTTTTTTACTATTTCGGATTTACGTGAAAATGTGATACAAATTTATGTACCGCTTTTGTCAACTTTTGAAGTCATATCTTTCCTTTACACAAATTAGCGATTTCTACGGTTTTATGTCCTTTAGTAGTGTGTAGTGGATGTGACAAAAAAAATCATAGAATAGGTGAAATTTCATTGTATTTTTATAATTATTTCGGTCAATTGACTGGTTAATTGACACAAAAAAATTGACCTGTCGATTTCACAAACCTAAGCTTTGCATATAGAGGGTTCTTCAACTTGAAGTACCTATTTAAAGTTTTTTCTTATTTTTTAATTTCGCAAAAATGGATATAGTAGACACCTTAGTTTAATACGCCTGGATTTCTTACAATTTAATCTTAATTAAAATTGGAGCATTAATAAAGTTTGTTACACTAAAGAAACTAATCATAAACGGCAAATATGGGAAAGTTATCCAAAATATAGTTTTTGGGCAGTTTTAAAGAAAATTTAGTGCGTTTAATAACCGACTTCAGATTGACGGTTTGGAAAATATCAGCGGATTTCGTTTTTCACCAGTAAATCCAAAATGGTTAAATTGACAGCTGTCAAAATGTCACATTATTCATTCACTTTTTAAGGCGAATAAGACAGCGTGTCTTTTTCGATTTTTGGTAATAGCCTAAAATTATCAGTTCAGTGCACAAAAGATTTTGTCACACTTGATAACGTTGAATCTTAATCATATAATAGGTAGGCCATGATTAATTTGTTAGCTTTATTTCCATCTAAGAAGGGCCCTGATTTGACATTAAATAATTCAAGTCATGAACTTCTTAAGCGGGCAGTTTGACGAAATAATTATTTCATTAAATGAGTTTTTTGATCCTCGAGAGACCTTGTGAGAAAGAGTTTTGGATACATTTAGAAACGTTAACAGAAATATAATTGCTAGGGTTATACAAAACATCTGACTCGTGGAAAAGACGTTCTTTACGTTCATATTCTATTGAAAATATAATACGTTTATGGTTTTTTTTAATGTGTTACTTATTAGTATTAATGTTAAATAAAATGATGACCCACTTCTAAGATAATTAAGACCTCACTTTGTAAGGTGTAATAAAATCTTTTGTACACTTGTGAGTCATTGCTGAACTGGAAAGTTTACTTTCTTTCCAAATATCAAAAAATCCAATATGGCCACCATAAAAAAAGGAAAATAAATGCAGGTTGCGAGGTAACAAAAGCCGATTGAGACATGCCATATACGCTATCTTATTCGTATTATGACAGTACATTTTGACAGCTATCAATTTAACCCTAATAAAAAAAACCCTTTTTCCTAAAATTCCTCTTAAACTTTTCTCATTTAACCTTTGCTGTAGATATAATACTAGCGGAGATCCTTGTACAGGGAAGCGAATCTGGGATACCTACATTGTAGGCCTATGAAGGGGATTATAAAATTTTTGCTCTAAACAAATAATTGTGTGTTGCTCATTTGAGATTTTTATCAACCACTACTCCCAAGTATTTTATAACATTAGTCTCCTTAATTGGTTCCATAAGTATTTCCGAAAATTGAGGATTGCTTTTCCTGGTTATAGATAAAATATGAAACAAATTCACTTAAAAATCAGGTATTGGATTTCTATAAAAATGCTTGCACACTTCCCAAAAGGAAAATATATAGGGAGGATCTATATCTTTCAGAAATTGAAATAATACGTATATGCTGTGCCAATAAAGAAAATCGAGTAACATCTTTGTATATGTTTTATACGCCATCTTCGAATAACGCTGTCAAAACTAGAATTTTGAAAATTAAAATATTTGAAAAGTTCTTATGTTAAGGTATGTATTACTATTAATAAAAAAAAGTTGAATAATTTCAAAAAGAGGTCAAAGCAAAATTTAAAAATGAGGTGCTCCATTTAAAAAAATGGCAGCTAACCTTTATACTTTTAAAATAATTTTAAATTGTGCTTTCCAATAATCTTTACATCTTTTGTAATTACCATTTTCCCATAACTTTTGAAACCAATACTCTTTCTTTGACTCACTCTCTATATGACCTAGTGGTTACGCAGCTATTTTCGTGAAATCCGCGCATTAACTGCATCCACATTGTATTTGCAAAGTTGCGAACAATTGCAAAAGAAAATTGTGCTACATAATATTACATATGATTCGACTCGTCTTTTCAGTGACGTTCCAGCACGCCGAAATCGAAGCTCAGCTGCGAGATGAAAAAGGACACGCAAATTTCCTGTGTCGGAAACACGAGGAAGAATTGGACGCGGTCAAACTCCAATTGGAGAAGCTGCAGAAGTTCCACCACGAGTCGATTGATATTTTACGCGAAGAGAACGACTCGATCAGGAAACAAATTGACGAGGAACGACTTGAAGTGGAAAAAGTAAAACATGAGAGCGCGAAATGGAAACACGACTACGAGAACAAGGAGGTTAAGCTCAAGGGAGAGTTGGAGTCGATAACGGAAAAGATTGCAGCTTTGATGGAGGAAAATCGTCAGCTGAGGGATGAAAATGAACAACTGTTAAATTCAAGTGGTTGTAAGGGAATTAAAATGGAGGTTTGTAATCATTTTTACTGTCATTATGACGATAAATTGACGCTCGCATCAAGTCCTTTGCTTCCCATTTAAATGTCTGACAAGGTGGGGTAACACTGTTTTCTACAGGCTGGGTCAAATTGGACATTTTTAAAGCTAAACTCCCCTTTATATAGTAGATAGATCAAAACTACTACTACACTAAAGCAACCTTAAAAATCTTAGGGGTGAGAACACAATGCATTTTGGTGTACCTTTTGGGCACTTTTATGGAGTATCTTGGTTATTTTTTAAGATAGAAAGTTACAAGCTACGCGAGTTTGAGCTACATTTTTGTTGAAATTAAAGATGCCGTCAACAAAATTATCATGACCATCTTGGTTTTTGAGATACAGGGTGAAATTCGAAACTATCGATTTTGAGTCCACCCTCATATCCGCGTTGTCTTTTAAGTTATTGAAGAGTTTTAAAAATCGTTCTTATGGGATTTTTTTTGTTGTTTTTTACTTGCTCAAACCGTTTATTAGTTATGAAGCATTTTGTTAAATGGAACAACATGTTTAAGCTTTTCAGAAATATATATTAGTGTAAAATTGTTGTTGTTTTGAAAATTAAGCTCAAAATGTTTTTTTTTCATATTTTATTTTATTTGTAGCAGTAGATCTATCTACTATTAAAAACAATATCCAAGTAATCAATTATTAACAGACAAGAAAGTCAATACTTTAAAATTCAATTATTTAAACGTGTTTTGTGCGTTCTGAACTACTATTTGTAATAATTTTCAACTTATTATAGTCCATTATTACATTTATTAATAGGAAATAACATTATATCTAAAGAATATTAACATAAGATTATACCTAAAACTATTGTTCAAATCGGAGACTAACCAAAACTCGCACATTTTTAATCTCCTTCGTAGAGTATAGAACGTTAAATCAATTTCCCCTGAAAGTTCTGCTACAGACTGGTGTCGTGTTTTATATACTTTATTTTGAATTTTGAAAGATCCCGAGATCGTGGAAGCTAAAAAATATTATTATTTTTAAAAAATATATTTTCATTCTGCTTTTCGATATTAAGTAAAGAGTCTCTTGTAAAGTAATAACTCCTTAGATGTATCTTATTTTTATTAGTTAATTAAATGATTAAAAAAGTGAATTTTGAGCTTAATTTTTAAAACTACTTTATACTAATATATATTTTTAACCAGCTCAAATGATTTCCAATTGATGTAAAAATTAATATAGGGATATACATATACCTCATAACTAACTAATCCTAAAATAATGTCTTTTTAATTCTTCAACAACTTAAAAGACAACGGACATACGAGGGTGGTCCCAAAATCGATAGCTTCGGATTTTAGAGTGTATCCCAAAAACGATGATGGGCCTGAGAATTTTGTTGATGGCATGTTCAATTTTACAAAAAAGTATGGATATTGTAGGCATTGTGTTGTCGATTATTTTATCAAGGTGCGCACCTTGCATCGTTTCCCGCGTTAACCAGTATAACCGTTGCGATATCATGTGCCTCTTTTGAAAATGTTCTTCCAGTTATTAATACATATCCGGCAACATCTGCCAAATAGATGGAAAGTTATTACAAAAATTCAGCTAAAGCCTCAATAGTTCAATCGATGGGAAAATAATCCTCACAGCTGTATTCGACAGGAAAATAGGGAGGAGATCTGCGAATGATAAAAGCTATGAAACTTGAAGCGGGATTTAAAAGTGACTCAAATACTTAGAGTCATATGGAATACTGTTACCCCAGTATATGTTTTATGCCAAACGGTATTCATATAATGGTAATGCGAAGAGTAACTGACCAACATATTAAATAGCCATGGGACCAAAACTTTTTTAAAACTCATAAATTATGTTAACTTTGCTTTTGTGAAAAAAAATACCAACTCTAAAGAATTTATTTGCAAAGCTTTTGTTGCAGTTTTGTTTCTTCGAATTTGAAGATATTCGGTTAAGGAGAGTTGCAACTTAAGATTAACTTTATTGCGCCAAACGCATCCACTTGCGTTAAACTAAATCATAAAATATTGCTAAAACCAGTTCACTTGTTTCAAACATCAGATAAGATGTTTCGTCTCTGGTTGATGAATAGTCGAGCATGTGAAGCAATATGTCGCAATAGCAGATCAAAGACATCAACAGAATCAACTGTTATTAATTTCATTCTAAAACAGTTCATACGTTAACATGAGGAGATTAAGTGTGTTAATAATCTAACCTGTCTCGTACCATTTCGGACCGCATTCACGGCTTTTTTAAATGTTTCTTCACTATAGTTGGTATATAGCCGGCTGTCGGGGGTTGTTTCGTAGGTCCTCAAAAAAAACATCATTATTTTTTAGATTTTAACATCAAACAAAGTTACCCCGGGGTGACAAAGTAGCCCCGGTTTACGGTACAATTACTGCGCCTACGTTGTACTGGCAAGATCACTAACCTTGACAGTTGCACAATGATTTATAACTCTTTCGCTTTAAGAAACAGATCCAATAAAATCATCGTTGTGGATTACAGGCAATCCATGAAAACATTTATCTTTAGTAATTCTATACAATTCCGGATATCAAACTTTGTCTGTAATATATACGAGGGTATCAAAATTAATATTGTTTTTCCTTTATCTCCTCAATCGTTCCAAAGCTCCTTCCATTCATGGCTTCTTTCTCAAGACTAGAACAGGAAAAAGTCGCAGGGGGCTATATCCGGTGAATATGGTGGCTGAGGCATCATTGTGGTTTTGTTTTTGGCCAAAAAGATATACACTATCAACAATGAGTCAGCATTATCGTTATGCAAAATCCATGATTTGTTTTCCCATAATTCCGGACGTTTTCTTCGTATTGCTTCTCGCAAATGGCGCATAACTTCAGGGCAGATTTGATCGAACTTGACTGGGCTTTGGTTTCGATGTCATAACCATCAATTATGACTTTTACAAGCAGGATCATTATTGACGTCGTTTAACAGTCCTTTGTCCTTTGTCCTTCGACAGTCCGCTTGTTCAAAATTAAGGAAGAAATTTCGCTGCTACACTTTTTATGTCCAAAACTTCGGAAAAAATTTTATGGCACAAGCCAATGGAGATGTCGATGACTTCAGCTACTTCAACACGATTTTTCAACGCCATTTGTTTCACTTCTTCAAGGCTTAGTTATTGACGTCCTGGGGCGTCCAGAGCGAGGTTCTTCTCGGTCATCTTGAAACAGCTTGTACCACTTATAAACATTTTTTTGCTCAAATTAGATCCACTGTACGCCGTTGTCAAGCATTTTGCATTATGCAAATCCTTTGTTCAATTTTTTGACAGCAGAAAATCGCCGAGCACGCAAGACACTTCTAACACTTTTCTCTCGGAAACTTATAAACTGGCTGAAACCGTAAATATATGTCACGGACATGTGTACTAACATAAGAAAAAAAAAGATCGCCCAATTATAAAAGTCAACTTACTTTTTGAACAAACCGCGTACATTGCCAAAAGGCGCTACATTTGTTTTTAACCTCGGCGCCTTTTCCTGTTACTCGGTCCATTCAATTCGAAATATTTTCAGGAAATGCAGTCTCTCAGGGTAGTGGTGGAACTGAAACGGGAGGAGGTGTCCAACCTGCGGAAAACCTTGGGCGAGGTGACGCACAAGCTGGAATCGCTCATGGGCGCCGAGAAACGAGCGAATGCGCTCCAAGCCCGCTGCGAGGATCTCCAGCATCAGCTACAACGCAAGACCGAGTACGCGCAGGTGTTGCTCGAGAAGCAGGACAAACTGGAGGAATCATTCAAAGAGGAGGCAAACCAGAAGTGGCGAATGATCCGCTACAACGAGGAGCTTCAGTATAAACTGAAGCAGAACACCGAAGTGATGAACATCGTGATGGAGCAAACGGGCGAGTACAACCGATCCAACAGCTACAATTCAAGTTTCAGCGAGAAACACAGCGCCACCAAGTCGCAGTTCGAACGTACCCTATCGTTCAGGGACAGGACGTTGCCTTACAAGTCGAAGAACTCGATCGATCTGGACACCGACGACGTTTCGGAACCGACCTCGCCGACCGTCAAGGCGATCGTCGAGAAATCAGACTCGGTCAGTTACGTACTGGACCTGGACGAGCGGCCGAATGTGGTGGCGTCGAGAATTATTAGGCGCAGTTTCCGTAACGCCACGCCCCCGAAAAATACTCCCACCAAATCGCCGTCGAACAAGCGTGCCCGTATTCGGAACCCTCTGAGCTTGAGCGCTTCGTCGGGAGCGATCGTCACCCCCAGCAGGGAAGAAAATGGCAGACCCAGGTCCGCCTCCGCGAGGGAAGTCGATTTCGGGTCGAATTTCGCCCAAAGCACACCAAAGGATAGCGTTTCGAACCATTCCCACGCTAATCTTCACGAATTTGTGGACATGGACGAAGACAACGAGGTGGATCTTGAATTGCCCGCGCTGCCCAGCGAATTAGACAAGAAGAACGGTGCGTTGGCGTTGCCCAGTCCCGAGCATTTGGCCGGTGAGGGAGGCACTTCCGATAGCAACTCGGAGGACGAGAGCACCAGCTCGTCGCAATTGTGAGCGGAGGAGTACTTTTAGGATCCCGAGCGAAAGGCGGTGTCCGTTTTGATAATAATGCGACGCGGCGGTCTTGTCAAGTCTTTTCACCGCGCCGATTTCTATTTTTTTTTGTATTTTTATGGGTTGTGTTGGACGAAAATATTCCCCGGTTTCAGTATTATAAGCGATGCGAGTTTGTATGTCTATCTATCCGTTCGATATTTTTTTTATGTATATGATGAGTCGTTTTTATCTCTGTTGATCATCACTCTCTTTGTATTTAAATTATTGTTAGGGAAAAATTTTTGAAGTTTGCATGGTTATTACGTATTTATTGTAAAAAAGAGGTTCATTCAAATAAACGTTACTAAGTACCGGCGGTGTTTTTTTTTTAGGTTTGCCCTATGCAAGCGGCGTATTACGCTCTGATTAAGATCTCACCCCTCTGAGAGTGCAGACAACCCCAAAACTGTCTCAACATGCATGTTTTTTTTTACTTGCTTATCAACATCAGGAATTCACATTTTTGGGCACGTGAAAATCTACAACAAACTCGGGAATCCCATTTTCAAGGTAGATTTTCGGTTAATATCTGATGTGTGGCATTATTGATGACCGCCTCATTGGTCCGTTCATAATTGACGAAGGTCTCATGGCCAAGCCTTATTTACGTTTCATTGAAAATGATCTTCCAATATTATTCCATAATGTTCCTTGCAATGGAAGACAACAAATGTGGATTCAGCACGATGGCGGGCCTCCTCACGAATAACAGAATTTCAATACAATCAAAATTATACAAACCAGTGGACTGAAACAGGCTCAACAAGTCCTTGTCCAGCAAGGTCGCCTGACCTTAATCTCTTATATTATATTTATGGGAAAGACTAAAAACTTTAGTTTGTACAGAAAGTATTGAAAACAGAACATCTCGCGGCTAGAATTAAGAATGCTGCAGAAACGATTCGTGCTGATTCTGAGAGTGTTAGCAAAGCTTTAGAACAACTAATTCAATGAAATTTAAATAAATAAGAAATAACGGTCTTTATAATATCAAATGCTTGTAGCTCAGTTAGAATAGTGTTCCGGTTATGTTCATTTGGCATTTTTAACTTGAAATCACCCTAGCATGGCCTAAGCTATTTCAGTTATGTCATGTATATATTGTTACATTATTACATTTGATAAAGACACGGTGTTATCGAAACAATTGGCATGTCATAAAATATAACTTCGTGAAAATCTGAAATTTTAGTTCTTATTTATTTTGATAAATGGATTTTCATCAAGTGAAAGCCACCTCAGTTCAATTTTTGAAATAAAGTTCCCCAGAAGTAATTCTTGTATGATAGCAGTTCTCGATATACCTATTCCAGGAGTAATCCGCAATCATGGCGCCCAACCAAAATGGTAAAAGACATACACCCTGCTATTTCTGCAAGTCGCGAGAATTCGTGGAATTTTATGTCGTACCTCAATAGAAGAAAAGTGGAGTGTTAACGAATTATTCACTTGGCCAGAATGGATAATTTCCAAGCAGATATGAAAGATTTCGTCACCAAAACCAAACTAATTCTGTTTCTACATCGAACCCATTCTTACCGTATATGACTTATTAATACAATACAACAATGTCAACAACCACAGAAGAGGTCATTAAAGGTATCTCTTCCATTTTTTTATCTGCTTTGTATAAAATAAAGAACTTCACAAATAAGCATGAGTATCCTGCGTTACCATATTTGTTTCACGGTTATGATTATGAAGATCCCTGTTTATTTTTGAAGCAGTTGGAGCAGTATTTTTCGTGTTATAACGAAGTGGAAAACTACGATAAGGTTAATTTTGCGATAACTCGTCTTCGGGGTCCAGCACTGAATTGGGTAGAACAATATTAGTCCTTCAACTTAAGTTATGTCACGTTTCAGGACAGATTTTCATTCTAGAAGTGCTATAGCTCAGGCAACCTCCAAATTATACGGAGAGGAGCAGAAAGACAATGAACCTGTTGATGTTTTTATTTCCAAGAAAATTGCGCTTTTTCAACGGCTGGTACCAACCACTTCAGAAAAGATAAAGCCTTCGAAAATCCTGGATCTCTTGAAACCTGAACTTAGGGCTGTTCTACGCACTCCTTTTGAATGTACTAGTATAGAGGAACTGAGAAACATTGCTACCCAAGTAGAAATTGATTTCCAAGAGGTAGGACAAAATAAATATATTCCCCTTATATTTCACGGTCATAATACCACTCAAAAGAATCATTCTAGTCGGGTTAATTCTAGTGAACCTTCCTCTCCATGCAGATTTTGTTATGCTATGCATTTTCACAAAGATCGCCCACAAAATCCATATCATAGGGAACAGAACCAGCACAGAATGATTCGTTGACACAAAACCAACCACAGTTAAATTTCCCTATCAACGTAAATCTAATTTTCGAGAGAAAGCACAAGGTCTAATTTTTTTCCCTCGGATGTAAAAACATTGCAACTCTTTACTGCCTCGTCTAAGAATAAAAATTGAAAATAACCACTACAGCGCTTTAAATGATTGTAGATCAGCAGGCGACATTATTCGTACCTCTATTTTACCTCCAACATTTTCCCTACATAATAAGCACTACACCTCGTCGGAACAAATACAATTTGCGTGTGGCTTGAAGAATATTACTTCTTCGAGTGCAATTAAAATAGATTTTACCATTGACAACCTAGAGGTTAGTTCCACTTTTCAACTCATCTCTGAATTTAACGAAGAGATTATTCTTGGGGCTCCATTTCTTAAAGAAAATAATGTAATTATATCTAGAAACTGCATTTATGCTGGAAATAACAAAAGAAAAAGTTTATATTGGAACGACGGTCCACCTTCAAGTTTTACCAAGAAAGAACTGCCTGTTGATTTAATCTTTCCGGGAAAATATAAGGAAGGAAACTATCACTTTTTATGGGGATTTGTTTTCCAGTTTTCAATTTCAACCTACGACGACTACTACTCAACATAGCATCCGCCTGAAAGAACATAAAACAATTCAACAGCGTCCTTACCCAGTTTCTCCCAGGAAAAAGACTATTCTATATAACTTACTACAGGATATGCTTGAAAATCATGTTATCGTAAAGATTTCCCCTCACACTTCCGACATATATGTTTGTCGTGGAACGTTTGAGATTTTTCATCTCTCAACATCGAAAAAAACAAAATTACATTGGAAGAACTAGATTAACGCGGACACCACATTTACCTAAGACGAAAAAACAATTGCAATCATTCCTGGAAATATGTAATTGGCTAACATGGCTGAAATAACAATTCCTCTAACCTCACTCCCAAGGAACAACATGGGATTTAAATGGGAAGTCGAACATAATGCTTTCGGCAATATTAAATCAGACGTTGCTAAATCTTTGTTTTTACATAGGCCATGTGTGAATAAAGAAATTCTACTTCAAACTGATGCTAGAGAAAAAGAAACGGGATGTGATTTGTATCAAGATGGAGAAAATTTCGAAAAAAATATTATTTCTCATGAGAGTGTCACGTTTACAAACACTGAAACACACTATCATATTAACGAAAAAGAATGTGTGGACACTGTTTGGTCTATTAAATCCTTCAGGCATTATCTGCAGCACAAACCGTTTTTACTTCGTACAGACAAGATATCTTTATTACGGCTGGATAAGAACAAAGAAGCAAAAACATAACTCACTCGATGGTCGCTGCGGTTACAGGAAATTTCTTTCTAAATTGAGCAAGCACCTGGGAAAAGCAATGAACTTCTTGGCCTATTATCTTGATATCCGCAAGAATTTCATAGCATTGATTACGACATGGAAGAACGTCTCTGCATCTCTATGTATGAAAACCACACTACATGTATTAATCAAATCACGGCAAACTATGACTTATTTACTTATGTTTCTAAATATCGAAATTTGAATCGAATTTTGAATTCTGGAGCAAAATCCCGCAGTGAAGAAAATTTGTCTCGTTACCATATTATCGAACACGATTTACTGCAGAGAATGAATTCCTTCAGCAAAAAATTAGCTATTTCCCCAGAATGTGTCGACGAGGTGATCTTGTTTCACCATGATTTACGAACAGCTACACATTCTGGAAGAGATGAGACTGTCAGGGCGATGAACCAAAGGTGCTATTAGAAGAATATGAAGAAAACTAAGGGCGAATATGTCGGAAAATGCCGGGTTTATTCTCCGATCAAGACCTAGCTTCAGAAGAATACTCACCTTCGACCACATGGGACAACGAAGTCGTCTGGAACGTTCCTAAAAATTTGAAAAAAAAATTAATCAGATCGGATCGGATGTTTTTTGTGAGATGCTTTTTACTCCAAAATGGTTTAATGAATTTTAATGGGGTAATCGTTTACATCCGTCGGCAGAAATTTATCGAATATTTCCCTTTTCTTTTAAATACAACTATTTATCTAGAGCAAAGTTCCGGGATGCCAGAAAATCTCCCTACCCGCCTCTGACGGAAGGCAATTAATTTTTAAAATGTTATTAAATTTTATGCTGTCCCCAACGACGAACGGTACCACCAGCGATCGACTCTTCGGTACCGCCTAATAGAGGAAAGACCGAAGTATAAATTTCGACCCCTTACGGGAATAAATAAACAAGATCTTAAATATTGAAGAAAATAAATCGCTTCCACGGCGGACAAAGAAAAATTGAACAAAATCAACAGTCTCCACGGTGGACAACCTCCTTGAAGGTTTCACATCACCAAGGCGATAACAGAAACTAAACAAAACCAACCAAAATACAACGTCAAGTATTGACACACGTGCGTCACCGTGGTAACGAAGCAACCAATAAGCAAAGTGTTTGAATTACGACGCATTATAAAATAGTTTCAACTTAAAACATGTATAAAAACATATTTTGCATTTTTCGCAACCATCTACATTTTAGATTATTAGAATCATGTTTCTTAACGGCTTAGTGAAGTCATTTTTTAAATAAATTTGTTTGTCACAATTGCTCTAATGGGAAGCAGTATCTTTTAATGAACTTCGGGCAGTTAAAAAAGGAATTTTTCCTAGGCTTAAAACGTCCTATGAGTGAGATGATTGAGTAGCCTGCCATCAGGTAATTTTCTGAAAAAAAAAAGCAAGGTTATGAACAAGAGCCCGACATCCCAGTGAACCCAGTCTATGCAGGAATTTATCCTGCGTCGTGTATTTAATACGGCTGTACTAAGTTCAGCTCTTAAAAGGTTGGCAACATTCAAAAATAAAATGATATTCATGTATCTATAATTTTATCTTAGGTGGCTGTGAAGTCGTCACCAAGAAACAAAATGTTTATTTATAACTAACAGTGACAGTTACAGATTTAGCAAAACTATGCTGCTTGTATCATATTTAAAATGCCTTATTCGCAAAGAAAAAAACAATGATTTTGAAAACGTTTATTAAATCAAATAAGAAGGCTAAATTGCCTCAAAGGGCATACACAAAAAACTTTTATCAAATTTATGAAAACTTTCATCAAATATCCAACCTAGCCAGAAAGAAGAGACCACTCCCTATAACATTATATTCGCAACATTAAAAAATATTCTAGAAGAATTAGTTTTATAAATGGAATTGTCCAACTGGTCCCTCATTTTTTAAAAAAGATCTGATATATGTTCTCCGTATTCTTTCAAAGGCATCAGTGATAGATTGGGAATATTCATTTAGAATTTGAACTTCTATTCTAATCAGTTTTTTTAGATGCTCTCTGTTTTCAATGATATTTGCATTTAGTTCTCCATAAAAATACATCGGCGTCAAGTCAGGGCTGTTGGATGGAAATTTTATAGTTCCATCTTTTCCAATCTTTTCATTAAACCTTTGATTTAAATAGTCTTTAACAAATACTACACATTAAGTGCGAGGGCCGTCTTGTTGACTTTTCTAATTCGTTCTGAAGAAAATTTAGATAACCATTACCGTTTAAAGTAACGTCGAAGAAATGAGGACCCTACTATCCTGTTGGTTAAAATAGCACACCACACATTTACAATTTGACGTCCTTGAAAATGAAATTCCCTTCAGCAATGAGGATTTTCCGTGGCCCACGTCCGCCGCCTATACGATTTATCATACCACTGATTGAAAAAAAAACTCTTTAGTTAAAAAAACATTTTTTTACACAAGTATAATTTCCTTTAATTCCTTAAAACTGAAACCTTTTTCTCTCTGCCTGCATGTAAATTTTATGGTCGGCCTAATTCTGAATGCACTGTATCCTGCTTTTTGGGAGTGATTTCAATCTTGCCGTATGATGTATTAAACCTTTACCAGCCCTTAAATCGCTATCTTTATATCTTTCCAATGTTCTCATCTTTTTGCCTAGGTTGGATGATTATGGCATTTTTTCATAGATTCGATGACAATTTTTTTTTGTCTGCAAGGTGCATTGCAGAGTTTTAGACATAGTTAGTTCCCTTTGAATCAATTTAGCCTTCTTATTTGCTTTAACGAACGTTTGCAAAATAAATTGTTTTTCTGTTTCAGAATAAAGCATTTTACAATAAAAATAAGGTGATTTTTGCCAAGTTTGTCACTGGTAACTGTCACTGTCAGTTATAAACAAACATTTTGCTTTTTGAGGACAACCTACGTCACAGCCACCTAGATATAAATTATAAATTTTAGAATATTATTTTATTTTTGAACATTGCTTTTATGTTAAAAGCACATATATATCTCAAAAACTATTAGATTTGGGTATAAGACATATTATAGAGAAACTTCTGCATAATTTTTAGGGGATTTTATTAAGCCTATAATATATGATATGATATGTTGCATTAAAAATATATACTATTTATCAGCGGATAATTTCTGCAACACATTTTAAAAAATATATCTTTGGAAAACTTTGGCATTCGACGTTTTGTGTCCGAAATCTTAAACAAAAAAGTTAAAGGGGGGTGGGGGGCATTATAGATGATCACCCCGCACATGATTTGTTTACAAAAGTTTGTGACAAATTTAATTTTTTTATTGGCTACTAATTTGTATAAGCAAATTTATACAGGATGCTTCAAAAATGTGCAATGTATTTATGTGCAAATAGCGAACTATTTTTTTAATAATTTTTGTATTTGACGTTTTTTCCCAAACGTTAAATAGGAATGATCACCAAGCGCCAATGTTCAAAGCTTTCTAACGACAGATTGATCAATGAATAAGTAATAACGATACAAAATAAAATTCAACGTTAAGTTTAATGTTTTTTATTAATTTGTAATTCTAATTTCGGCGGAATCATCCCAATAACGAATTTTTTTCTGCATTTCTACCGCCGACGTTTCTGTACAACCACTCAGATGCACCCCAGCCCTTGACCCCGTCCACGTCGAAATTACATAGACGCTCGTAAATTTTCACCTCCCAATCTTTGCTTATGTAAAAGTAAGGTTCGTGGATCACGTTGACCTTTACGTTGTACGTTTTAGGACCTAAAACCAATGGAATCCAATAATTTTTAGGTAGAACAGCAAAATTTCTCAATGAAAAGCACCAAATTTTATTATATATTATTATGGGTTGCAAGTTATGTGGTATGAACCTGATTTCCAAATAGTTCCATAGAACTAACCAAACTTGGTATTCAATAAAATTAATTTATTATATTGATTAAATAAGTTCGCATTTGCCATTTCAAAAAACCAAAACCTTCCAATTTTTATAAAAACTTGAGAAAGTTTTATGAAAAAAAGTTTAATGAAAAAATTTGGAATTTAAAACATTGAACGCCATGTATTCCGAAGCCAGGGACATTTGTATGAATGTTGAGCCCAATCACGATATGTTGTCTTGTTTAGAAATTGATCATTATTTATACACTCTGTAGTACACCTTGTTATTTTTCGGTAACTCTGATATGCTTTTTAGAAATTATGACTTATGTCAGACATTCCGACTTATTCCTCGAACATTACGACTTTAGTCAGAAATTCTGACATGTTTCTCAGAAATTCTAATTCGTAAAGTAGTACAAAAATAATCATAAAGTGTGGGAAAATGAAATTATATACAGGGTGTTTCAAAACCAATTCAAATAACTTAAAGGGGCGATTCCTTGTTTAAAATAAAGGTAAGTTTGTGATATAGACGTTGGGTTTTTATAAGCCGGCTAAAAAATAAAGTTTTCAGTTTTTATTTTCAAAACGAAAATAGATAGATGCATAAAATCTTCCGGAATTATTATATAGGAACGCACATTATGCATATTTTTTTTAATTGGATGAATTGTTTAAATTAAAACACTCCAACGTTCTGCTTAACTAAATTTAAGAAAAAACGCACTATTTTTTATTACAGATAAAGCTCCTATACAAAATAAGTATATTTTGCTAAGATTTAAATAACTCTGCCTAAAAAGATTTTTGAAAAGAAAACAATATATTTTTTAGTATAGCATTGCATATACAAAAAAAATTCCTGCCGTAAGCAAGTTTGGTAAGAGAATATTCAGGGTGTTTTTAAAAACAGTCACCCGCACGCGGCTGGATATTCGTCATAAAGAAAAAGAGTTCTTGTAAACGTAGGATCAAAAAATTTGTTTTTCAAGGTTGTTGGTGTTGAATATTATTAGTATATTATGCAACAAGTGCAGTAAACAGCATTTGACACGAGCGGAGCGCAGCTGAGCGAGTGTTTAATAAACGAGTGACTTAAAAAGTATACCGAACGTGTTGCATACTATACTTTTTCTACGACCATTAGTTTTCGCCAAACAACACGAATACATTCACTGACATGGCCGTCAGAATTGACAAACGTCAAATTAAAGGCATGGGAAATATCTACGAAATCATCCGATTTGGGAGCAGAGAATATTTCGAGAACTCCACAATCGATCGAAAAACAAAAAAATGTCTTTACATATCGAGTTAAAAAACTGTTCGATGACATAACCAACCTCACCACATATGGGGAAATTCAATTTTCACTGTAAAATTAAAATGATCTACTGTGGTTTTAAACTGAACAAAAAATCTTTAAAAGCAATGACAGTAAAAGTAAAATATACGTTTCAATTTAATTTTCTGAGAATATCTGAGAAACAAGTCACAATTTCTGAGACATTGCGAATCAAAACATCAGACAATCTCTAATCTGTGCAGACTGCCAAAAACTAACTTATATAGTTACGGTTAAATAGTGGATTTTTGTTTTCCCTAAATCTATTAACTTTTTATGAGTATTTATAAAAAAATAAGAAAAAACAATAGAAAAAATTATTCGATTTATCTAAATAATATAGGAATGCTAGCGCCATCTAGGAACAACGTCATATAAGTTTCAATTTCGTAATTGTCATGCTCAAAATGTAAAACTCAATTTATTATAATATCATTATTATACTATTAAAAACTTCTCAATTAATGAAAACATTTAGAATGAATTTAATACGTCCTGTATCTGCGAAACCAGCGACATTTGTAAGAGGTCAGTGGTGTCAAATATCTAAAGTTTAGTTGTTTTTCTATAATTATGACTTGTTTTTCAGAAATCTGGCATACCCATCAGAAATTCTATCCTTTTTTTTTCGAAATTAGGCGGTATTACTAAAAATTTTGTCTTATGTTTTTGTAGGCATTTTAGTGAGTGTAAGGTAGAGGAAAATATACAAAACTAACCACAATGTATTTTAAAAACACAAATATCAACCCTTCTATATGTAACCACACTAAAAACTTCTAGACCTTGATTTTGAATAAACAACAGACGGAAGAAATTACTTTTGCAGTAGTGATGTAGTTAATCCTCATAACATGCATTATTATTCTAAAGTTAATCTATACTCTATACTCTAATCTATACTATAATATACTATACATTTTATATAAACTTTTTGGATGCGGAGGAGCATTACCATCGAGATTCCAGAAATGGATCGGAGGAGGTGGCTTCGTTGGATTAAATTTCTGTTTGGAGAGATCGTATTTATGAATCCCTCTACAACACAAGTAGATATGGAATATAGAATTCGGGATGCGTGCAGGGGAATAACACCGTTTATGCCAACAAACGTCCAAGACAATATACGAAAAAAGCTAAGCATGTGTATTCAAATGGAAGAGCATATTATGGAAAGAAGGGCAAATATAGGAAAAGTTTGCAAGCTAGTAAAGAAAAACGTATTTATGCTGGCACAGTTTAGCTTCAACTCTTAGAAGACAAATAAAATAAAAGGAAAACATAAGATGTAAATGCCGATAATGCCTAAAATTTATATTTATATGTGTGGATTTTAGGTTCATAATTTATGGCAAAATTTTATTTGTTCTTTCATTAGAAAAATAAATACAATTTTTCAACAGGCTACTGTAATACTTTTTATAAAACTTCTGGATTCCTCCTGCGTCGGTTTTTGTTGAGTCGAACTAGCTAACGTTTGGCCAATCATCCTGTTGGTTTCTTCAGAGCTTGATCGAAACTGGCTCGTATTTTACTCTGAAACCTGCTTTTATATAATTTGAGGGGGGCGGAGCTAAATAAGGGGCATATACACAGTTTCGGATGACTGATTCCCATATTGGTGACAGGTGGCGGTTAAGATTGTTATGTTACTTATAGATTTCTATAGAATCTCGGATTTTTCGATGGTAGAAGAATTAATTACTTGCAAGAATTTTAGTTTTATTGAATAAAATTTTATGTCCGGTTTCGTGATTGTGTTCGGCATCTGCTGATGAGTTTATTTGTATTTGTCTTAAGATTATTTCATGTTCTCTGAGCATAGTTGATATTTTTCGTCCGGTCTCTCCAATATATTCTTTACCGCATATGCATGGAATGCTGTAAACTCCTGGAATCTCAAATGGAATTTTGTCTTTGACAGATCGAAGATGTTGAGAGATTTTTAGACAAGTGGTAAATTTGTTTTTGACGTTATATTTCTATAGAACTTTTGATATGTGGTCAGTGATGTTCTGAGTATAAGGAAGGACAACAGGGGCAAGTAGCTTCCTTATTAAAAAACTTTACAGGGAAAACGGACAGTTTCGTACTTAATTCCTTTCACTTGATTGGAAAAATAAAAAGCATTAAATTAGATACACAAGATATTCTGGTTAGTTTCGACATAGAATCCGTCTTTACTAATATTCCTATTCCATAAACTCACACCATCATTTCAGATATATTAAAATCCCAGAATGGGGAACCAAACCATCTCAGATTATATATATTTATGGAAGCCTTTGCGAAGAAAGCTCTCGCACCATCCATCTAAAACCAAAATTATGGAAACGCCACGTCGATGATACTTTTGATATTTGGCCTCATGGTCAGGAATCCCTAATAGATTTTCTTAGATATTTAATTAAAATCTATACACTCTTATTTACACAGCCGTAACTATCTCAGCCCGAGTCATTGAACCCAGAATTAAAACACATTACCTCTGCTCTTCCCGCTAATAATTTCCACATTAAAGATATTAAGTGTTCCATCACAAAATACACTTCACCTTCCAATAGCACTGAAACGGAAAGCAATCTCACACTTGCCACTGTTGTCCTTCCTTATATTCAAACATCACTGATCACATGTCAAAAGTTCCAAAGTAATTTCATTCAGCAGTTTCAGTCAAGCTCTGAAGAAGCCAACAGGATATACATTAGCTAGTTCGTCTCAACAAAAACCGTCGCAGGAGGAATCCAGAAGTTTTATAAAAAATTTAATAGAGTTGAAAATCTATTTTACGGAATTGAAGGGACTGTTTTTTCTCTTTATAAAAATTATCGGCACTTGAAAAATAACAATACGCATATGTGTTTTGTAATAAGTAATATTTAATGGTTTTATATATATTTATTTTTTCTACTCCCGTCTGTAAAATATCTAATTACACACCGATCTAGGGTGTGGGAAGCGTCTATTTACCACGTCAGTTTCGTTTCCCACGGATTCAAGTCACTTCGGATATTTCCGGGATTTTACCGCACGGGTTTCAGAGCAATCGGATGTTTTCGGAGATATTTCCCACGCGTTGAATTGTGACATGCAACACAAATATATATAAATTTTAGGCTTTATCAGAATTTACAGTCTTCTTACATCTTATATTAGGTTTCCCTTTTATTTTATATATCTTCTTAGCAATTACTTTGTTTTGTTTACCCTTTACCAACTTACAAAATTTTCGAAATTTTCCAAAATTTTCCTTTCTTTCTGTCTAAGAAATAATAAAAAGATAAATGTTCCAAAATATGCCCATCCACTCCACTTCTGCACGCGTTCTGAATTCATTTTTCCATATCTGCTGGTGTTGTAGGGGGATTCAGAAATAAATTAAATGGTATTAAGTCCCGTGAACAAGGTTCCATTCAACGAAGCCACCTCTTTCGAGCCATTTCTGTGAATCTCGATGGTAATGCTCCTCCGCATGCAAAAAGTTGAAATAAAAGGCCCGTTAAGTGGTTCGCGAAAAAATATCGTCCAATTAATTTCAATTGTTTTATTCCACACTACACGTTAAGTAACAAATGGTTAACTAAACCATAACTACAAAAGTAACTTCATCGGAAAACATTATTTTAGTAAAAAATTTTGATCGTCTTTTTGTTGTTTGTTAACTACTTAACGGCTACTGACCTGGGAATTATCTTTAACCTGAAGTATTTTTTTTTCTTCATTACACTGAACAGATTGCCTACTTTTTATACGCCTATTCAGTATAAAAATCAGATCAATTAATTGAGCGTTAGAAATGTTTTTTTTTTAATTTACTGACACCACAATAAATTTTATGAATTTATTTACTCATTTGTCAGGCAAAAATTTGCAAGCCCAACTTATATAATAGCAATAATTTTCAAAAACATGGGTAAATGTTGGAAAAGTTAAAATAAATCCCAAAGATTAACATACTTAACGAATGTTGTAGTTTTTTGTAAGATCTCCATTTGAAAAGGTATGTTTTATTCGTCACGTTTTTTTGAGCAACCCCTTATACTTTAAAATAATATTTTTGTATTTTCCATTTTCTCACAACTTTTGAAACCAATGAGATAATGAACTTTGCTCTATCGTTGACTCACCCTGTACAATAAATAAACATTTGAGGTTTTTCCATTTCAAATCGTTTTACCTGCTTTGAAACTAAAAGCGTAGTCTCTGGGCGCTCTACCCATTTCCCCGTGATTGTAAAGACGCAAGTTGCTTTTCCTAATGGCGTATACATTTCTTTCCCGCGCAGAATATACGAAACCAACGTTTAACCTAAAATCACAAATTTGTTTAGTTTAACGACCTAGAAACCGATTTGTGAAATAAATTTTAAAAAGTTGCCACACCTGCTAAACGATATCGGCAGACAGATGGAACCGACGGAAAAATGATCGCCATTTTCGGCTGAAAAAAAGTGCATGCCGTATCTTCGAAATTGAGCCCACTCCCTTTTGGTAGCCACGCTGTGGTCCCTAAGGGCATCCACCTCTATGTTATATTTTGAACCGTTTATCGTGATATGGGCTTTCAAAGTTCCGAATTGCTCGTAGTGGACCTGATGATTTCTGACAACACAGACTCGTGTGAGACCACATTTACCATTATAAATGTCACCTCCCTAACTTTTTCATTCAGATTTTAGAAAAAAAAAATTAGGCTCATATATGCAGGGGGGTCAGTTGCAAATCATACCCTTACGTCAGAGCTATTAAATACGAATTTCAAAAATATATAACGCATTTTGGTTATTTTTGATATTTAGGACAGAAAATGCGTTTTCGGGGTTTTCCCAAAATGAAAAATTTGGAATTCCTAATCTATACAGTTTAGTTTTAGTTTTAGTTATAGTTTTAAAAAATAAAATTTATTTTTGTAATATCTGTATTATCTATAGTGTTCTACAATTCTTCTAAAATACACCAGGGGCGGGCGTATGGAATTTCACCAGTCTATTTTGGCAGACAGTGAACAGTGGCGTACTGATTAAAATAAAAATTATTCCTAAAAACTCCAATCATTTCTAAAGAAACTTAATTTCTTATTTTTTTTCAATCCGATGTACGGTTTTCGTTAAAGAAAAATAAAAAATATTCTCTGCATGGTCACAACAATATGGTTAATTTGACAGCATGCAGAGGAAGTAGTTTTTATTTTTAAGAGAAAAAATATACATATTTTTTTAAGGAAATCAATGAAGTGTCATGTCAACAAATAATATTTTGGTTAATTAGGTAGCCACTACCCGTTAAATCGAGAACTTTTTTTTGAAAAATAAAATATCTATCTAATACAAGATACCTAGTTTTTAGTTACCAGCTAGTGTCCTCCAAAAAAATAAATTCGAAGGCTATTGATTTTAATTTTACAGTTTTAATGAAAATATATAACATCGCAACAATAAGTTGTTTAATAATTATTAACAAAACTATCTGATTCTTGTTTTACAATAGAAGGGGTACCCAACAAAAAATTACACTATTTGAACCTAAATGGTCTGAGCGTCGTTCTGTTAATCTTTGTAATGAAATTAAAAAGGACTAAACTGTAAGCCCCTTATTTTATGACAGATACCAACGGATTATAACAGAAAATGTAAAGGAGGTTATGGATAATATGCCAATGAATGAAGCGTTACTCGAGTAACTCATTCTCAGTAATCTCAACAATAAATATAGAGAATTGATTGTAAGATCTGGAACAATGATATAGCCAGCCAACAGTCATTTAAAAAATAAAAGTTCTTTTACTAGGCAAGAAAATACACTGAAGTAATATCTGCAAATATTCCTCTTCTACCAATATACCGGGAAATACCGTATTTAAATATTCAGGCACTTGTCGAGTACAATAGAACGGAGCACCTTCCTGTTGAAACCAGATATGTCCATCCGACATCATCATGACTGATTTGGATATGGGAAAGAAACCGCGAGAGTAGGGATTAAGTGACTGTGAAAAAATTATAAAGATCGGGTTCCAGTAAGATTTAGATCGAAGAAATAAGGTCCCATATTTTTGTTATTCATTTATTTTTTGTGGAAGTTGTTTAAAATTTTGTAATTCAATACCAATACCTACAAATTTGCCTTGGCTTCAGCACTAAATAGTATCTGACTATAAAAAAATAGTTTCACATTTCTATCATAGTTTCACAAAACTGTATTTTATAGTCAAAGCTGTTCGTTTTCTGACATTATCGTCAATTTCTAATAAAATGTTTTATCTTATGTACCTGACTGTTGACCATCTTTTACATGACCTATTTCTATAAATTTTCTCTCAGTTTTACTCACCTAGATCTTGTTCTGAATATATAAGAACTTCACTAGCTACTGTTCACTTCATGTTTATATTCCTCTTTTTTTATTCTTTTGCTCATAAAAATTTGACGCATAATTTGAAACACTTTTCTTTAAAAAAGTGACGTCGTAATGCGAAATCTTTGATTTACTTGTAATGTAAAAATGGCTTCTCTATCTTTATAGAGTAAGATACTATCCGACAAAAATCTGGATGGATAATGAAAATACTAAAAAATACTAAAAGTAGGGTAGTGACATCAGTCTCGGACATGGAACCAGTAATGGACCCATTAAACTTTAACATCTAATATTAAGATTCTTTTTAAATGAAGACACCTGTAAACAGACTGAAATCGTTCTTACAATTATTGAGGCAACATGTTGCCAAATTACGGAAAACTATTTTAAAAGATAAAATTAAAATTGGATTTCGGGTTTGTGGTCTATTCAAAAAGTGCCTAAAAGTTTTAGAATCTAACATACCAGTAAATATACTTAAAATTATGAAGGAAAACATATTGGGAGAGAAATGGGGGGATCTGTATCAGCTAAAGACTTGTTTCAGTTCGTGTCCAAAAGGACGAAAATTTAAATTTTTCATTACAAATAGATGCCATTGCTGCAGAACGTATTCCAGTTCAAGAAGAATTATACACGAATTCTAAGAAGAAGTTATATCATCACAGATCAACCAAATTTACTGCAATAGAATTTCAAATAACAAATCAGCGAACTGCAGATAATACAAGCCTTCTACGTCAAAATCAAAGGATATTGCAGAGATCAAGTCAATTTCGCCGCCGTGACCTGCTTGCTATACTGAAGAATCTCCGTTTAAAAAATATTTTTTTCTGGCCCAAAGAAGAGCAAAAATATATCAAAAAAGTAAAGAAAAAACACGTTCATTGATAACATCTGCTTTTGGTTACGTGAACAACAAAAGAAAGAAGCACTCAAACAAGAGCAAAAACCAAAACCACAAAACAGGGATAAAAATTCTGCGTTTCAATGGTGAACTGGAAATTTTATAAATGTAAAACAGAATGGAAGAACCAGCATGTATTAGAAAGAAAAGCTAAATGGTTTGCATGTTGCAGCTGTCCAAATTAAGTGCATCAAGTTTGTGTTCGTCTCAAGTACCTCAATTGCCTTAAAACCCGTTACACAGATTCAGAAGAGGACACGCAGTTTTTATGCGAACAATGTGACATTACCATTAATACTAGTGATGAAAATAATGACTCGAGCAGGAAGGAAGAAGAACATAAAAATGAAGATATTTTTGTAAATGTCAATGTTCTTATTCTTATTTTTGTGTAATGAAAATCATTTTTTATTTAGTTTGTAGATTTTAGTTCCATGTATTTGTTGTTCCATTTGTAGTCTGACTATATACGTAACTACTATAACTGTTTATTATTTTTACCATTTTTTTTTAATGCTTTGAATTTTATGCAATATAAATTATCGATTTATTATTATGTTTTTTAAATCAATAATTATTTTTCTGTCTCACTAAAATTATAACTTAACACGGTACCTAGATGATTATGCCTAGGAACCTACCTATGGAAAGATATAAATAAAATACAATGTCCGTTACTGGAATAACAAGTGTCCAAATTAGGATTTATTAAAAAATGGCCTGTCCATAACTTAATTGAAGTTAAGTTAATTAAATACTTATCGTAATTTATGCTAAAACTGCGATGGACGATTGTAAAGATTAATATTTGGGCTTTCTTTTGACATACATAGTTTTGATACTGCGAAAAACGAAGCGCTCCTTCTTAAAGTGCCCATAGCTGGTGCCACTACCCTATAACCACAGATAACTTTTTATACCTAATCTACTTTTTATATAATACGAACCAAAATCAATCAAACCAACTTTTCTAAATTGGCGAAGTAGTTGCGACTCCATCTTTCGTAAGCTATAGCTTTAGCCATGTCCCAGGCGTCCATATCTTTGTCAAAATTAAAACAAGGTTGTTCAGACGTCCAGACAGCGTCGAGAGTAACGTTAGATTGCTGATCGGGATTCTCAAAATTTTTCATGACTCCCGCGTATGTAAGTTTCCATTTTTTCATTGGTTCCACACAAGAAATTTGAATGCCTTCCGCTTCGTATTTGTCTTCGTCCCCGTCGTTGAACAGGGTCGTATCCGGAATTTTTGGTATGGTCAACACGCCCATGTTCGAATTGGCTACTTTGAGGAAAAACAACCCGTCGATCAAGCGATTTTTTCTCCTGGCAGTGGCAAAGATGAAATAGTCTCCGTTTTTATTTGCTCCGTTGAAGTTTACGGCATCTACAGCCTAAACATTAAATTAATACTAAACAAAGACCTAAAGCACCTAAGCACTTAGTGCTTACGAAGTGAATGGAATCATTCAATCAATTATTTTATATATACCGGGTGACACATTGGCGAACGGTTAGATGCTCAAATATTGACTCCCATATACATTTTAGAGCAAAGTTGTAATTTATGTTTAATATAAGTAACATAACTCCACCGTTTGCATCGGATTTAAATAAATATTAATCAGCCAATCTTCAGTTATTGAATGAAATATCTTGGCAAAATTGCAAAAGGTCAATACAACAAAACCAAGGGAGTATTTTCCCTAACCCTATTTCCAAAACTTGACGACGTCAATGACATATTATATAAAGGCGAGTTTACAAAAATGATATTTACAGTTGGTTTAACACATTCAAAGAAACTAAATAAAATAAAAAATAAACTTAGGATCGAACTCAGATCTCATTGCCTCTTAAAGAGTTATTGGAATACATTTAATTTAAAAGATGATTAAAACAACAAGAATGCTTAAAGAGACGGCTACAAATTTGACCCTTAAAGCATTTAAATAAAAAAAAAATAAAGTAAAAATACGACTACACAAAATTACTAAAATTTTTTAAAATAAACATTATTTTTTAAATAAATGTTCAAACAACCTTCCATTAACAGTTAAACAGTATTCTAAGCGATCATAAAATTCGTTTCTAACACTGCTTAGTTGATATTGCGAAATCCTGTCACACTCTAAGGCCTACAGCCTTTTGTAACTGGTTTTTTAACATTTTTGTAGATAAAACTTTTCAAGTGACCCCACAGAAAGAACTCGTTCGGCGAGAGGTCAGAGCACCTGGGTGATCAAATGATTAGGCACATTGGGCCAATAATATTCCCGTTAAAAGTATTTCCCATAATTTCAAAACAAAATGCTACGCTTCTTTCTTCATCGCCTTCCCGGTTAATAACGTATAACAATACCAAATAAAAATATTGTTACTCTAAGGTTTTTTCGTTTTGTCATTGTCTTAATGTATTTTACTGGTTAGGCTAGTTCTTGACAAACTGCAGAGATTGGCTTGCCCCTGCATAACGGGTGCCATGATGACGGCGCCCACGAGGGCCCTAGAGGCTCTGGTGGGTTTGCCCTCTCTGGCGGATCGGGTGCGGAAAGACCGGGCCGCGGTGGGCTGGAGAGTTGCTCCGGGAATGAGGCAAGCGAGGCTTATGACCGACGGTCCCGCCATCCCTCGGACTAGGAAGCTGCTTAGACTGACCAGAAGGGGGTGTAGAGCACTAACAGGGGCCTACACAGGACATTGCAGGCTTAAGAGGCATCTTTGCTTGCTAGGCATTGGAGACGACCCAGAGTGCAGGTGGTGCACGCAAGGGGGAGGAGACCCCGTATGATCTGCTCACTGAGTCCCCTGCTTTGACATGGGCAAGATTTGGAACGGCCCTGATCGATCCGAACTCAGTGCACGGTGTTGGGCTAAAGGAGTTGCTGACCTACTATAGGAGGGGCGGCATTCTAGAGCGGTCTGGGGGCACAACGAGCCCATCTGGTGGCCTAAGTGCTTTGACGCCCGCGAGGGTGCCCCCCTATAATACCAATACCAATACCAATACTGTTGTTGGTTTTGTCAGTTAAATTATAAAAAATTTGAAATTATGCCATGATATTTCATTCAATAATGAAGATTGGCATATTAAAATTTATTCAAACTCAGCACATGAGATAATCATACCGGCCCTTTTAAAAAGTTAACAACTTTGCTATAAAATGTTCAGGGAAGCCAATATTTGGCAACCTAAAAATTTGTATGGAATTTCCGATGTTCCATTCAACAATGCAGTCATTCTGAAGATCCCCTGAAAATATGAGTTGAATTTAATAGAAGAAACTTTCAATTACTGTGTTTAGTACTTATTAACAACATATTTTTGTCACTAATAAGCACTTCTCTGGTAAATAAAAATCGCAAATTTCTTTTTATTCGCCGAAAAGAAACTATTAAAGTTCTTTAATTACGTGAAATGAGGTAAAGATAGGATATCAAATAAACCTAAAATGCTTGGTTAATATAGCCAGTACGATCTGTGGTGGCATAGTTGGCATGGCAGATGTTGTGTCGGTATCTATCTGATCAATGGAAGACAGCCGTCACTAACGATCACCATTATATATATTACTTAGGAGTAAGAGTGTCAGAATCAGTTGTACTTGCATTTATTTAACTAGTACCCCATACTCATGTATTTTCTATGTGGTAATAGATCAGGGGTTAATGATATGCGAATATTTAAGTAGGTGAATCGAAATGAAATAATTATGATAATTCATTAAATAAACTATACTCCGAAAACTCTGTCCATTGCAATAAAAATAGCAACAAATTGGAAAATTTAAAATAAATATATCTTACTGTATAAAATATAATTTGCCAAGAGTAAATATACAAGTAAACCATATTTAGTTTGTATTTACGATGAAACATCATCATCAAGGCCAAAATTGGAACTGCTACTACTAGAAAATGATCCTTTGTCCACATTAAAACAAATATGTTATAAATTTAGAAATATCATTGAATATTTTTAAACAAGGAAAGAAATGCGAAGATTATTAACCAAAGACTGAAAATAATTTAAAAACGGCAAAAAAAATGCCAAAGTATATCACAACTATTTTCTAACTACTTTAGCAGCGTGTTTGAGCCGAATAATACGCAGTCCTGGACTTCATTTAATTACTCAAATAAGTGCGTCGAAATCTACAATTTTTCGAAGGAACCTGTCTGCTTGCTTTAGATAGAAAAACAGGACCAGGACCCTCTCAACTTTTAAACTATATCATTATTATTTTTCATAAATTCTCAGCAGAGAAATAGTTAATTATATGCCCCTCTCGCTCCATTTTGCTAGGATCTTTGAAGCCACTATTTACACCCAATTATTTTTAATCGTAAAAAATGACATGGATTTCACCAGAAACAGTACTTAGAAACTTCATTCCTTTCATCCATAATATTAATCCTTCTATGCGCAATCACCCCACTCTGGTAAAAAAGCTTGGAAACTTGCAAAGTTACGTAATCAATAAAAACTCAGTTTGTGGTTGTGAATGGTGAAAAGTTGCTTTCTGAGACTCGACTCAAAGATCACGCTTGAGACCTTTACTTTTTAATATTTTTATATTTACATCTTTTATATTTACATTTGTTTTCAACGTTCACTACCTGCTTGATTCGCAGATGATTTCAAAGTAAGAACGGAAATCAATTCTCAATCAGAGATTTTAGAATTCCAGAATGATCTCGATAGGTTTACTGTCAACTCTAAAAATCACAAACTTTTTTATAAACCTCGAAAAGTTCTGAGCAATAAAAATTTAAAAGAAAAAAAGTTTTATTAATAACAATTAATAATAATAATATAATAATACTTAGTATTAACTGAAATTTACAGAATACAAAAATTTAATTTAAGTTACTCAGTTGTAAAGAAATGCTTGAGATGTTGGTTTTGTATTACGTTACACTAAAGGTTTTAGCAGTGACAAATCAGTCGTTCTAATATTTAATAGCCTCAACAGATCAATCTTTATCCACCATGGAATCCTATCTATAACAAGTACAGCGATAGGATAGTGGCCAGAAAAAGCGTTTTAGAAACATAAATTTTACTAAAACTTCCAAGAGAGAAGAATAGATTTAATATTTGCTTTACTTTAATAAAATAATAATAATACCACTTTATTTGGCGAAAAGAGACGAATTACTTATACAGGGCCTGAATTTAACTGACTGGCCAGCATCAGACTTATTTAACTGTTTCATTTCACTTCGCAAGCACCATACATAATAATTCATAAATATGTTGAAAAATTAATGTCATTATTAGATTTCTTCTGTACGTCATTACTACAAACTAACCAACCTTTGAATGATGCGATAGTTCTTGTGGTTTGTCGATTTTGTCGTAATATTCCTCATAGTTTGTAAATCGAGATGTAACCTGAAAATTAATGGCACTAACAATATCGCAAAAAGACTCAGCAAAGGCTTGGCAACACTTTATGGTATTTTGATATTTGATGATAACGTCACGCGTCACTCAGTGAAGGTTTTTCGCATTGTTTAATAACATTTACCCAAAAAGTATTGGCGAATATATTCACTGAGTGACCACCAGAACTGATAACTCAAGTACCAGAAACACCCAAACTGGCTCGCCACAGCTGACGTTGTAAAGTGACGCTTTCTCATAACTTAATCATTGCTTACTTGAGTATTTTAGAGTAGAAAGGACCAATTTTAATCCACATATATAGTTGTATGACCTTTTAGTCATTATATAGAGTTAATTTAATGGTTGCTTTATGGCTTTCATTTTAAAACACAGAGTTAAATAAATAGGTTATAATTTTTTAAAAATGTTGTTAAGAACAATTCCTACAGTATCTTTCTTGATTCATGTCTTTACGTGCATCAATTTATTTTTAAGGGCAAAATAAATATTTTGACAGTTTAAAAAAATATATTTTTTAACAAACCGTTTCAACTTCAACAACTAACCTAAAGAAACATTTTTTTACCACAAATGTAATCTCTTATTTTGTTCTGTCACGTCTGGTCTAATAACCCTTCGTATAGCCATCCATTTGTCAATTAAGCTACGAATAGCATCTTAAGAAATGTATACGCTTTTTGACTCGCTTACTTAGTTTATATCACACATGATCGGGGGGGGTTAAGATCAGTCGAATATGCTAGCCATTTGATTTTGTTGATCTCAACTTCCGAGAGGTATTGTGTGACCCTTTTTTGTTTATCTGGAGAATGTAAGCAGAATCTGGATTCGTAAATAAAAACAATATTCCGCAGTTGCTGTAAGTTTCAATTAAAATGTTCAGTGGCAAACCGGTCTGCACGGTTGATGGTCTGCAAGGTTTTAGAGCAAATGCCTTTAATCTTCGTCCACACATTAACGTTTCTACTTCGGACTTTTTAGAGGGCATAACTGATAATATTCCAGAGGTTATGAAAAGCTCACAGAAGGTGCATGTGATTATACTATCGGAAAATTACTAAAATCCAATCTATTGAGAACAATTTGAAAAATTATACTATGATGATATCTTACATGCTATTTAATACATGGTGTGTTCTTTTCACGGACCTTGTGGAAAGATAAAGTTGATTATTTCACCGAAACGAAACATCGTACTTAAATTATCTAAACGCCATTAACCATTAAATTTTGCAACTTTTCGTACCTTTTATGGTTTTCAATATCCCCATCTTTATCTTGGACACACTGTATAGCAAAAATGCTCTTTAAGAAAGGAGAAAGAAGAAATAATTGTGAAAATTATAATTCTTTAATTGAATAAGAACAATGGACTTCACAATCGGCAAATTATAGAAAAACAGAGAATTTAACGTATAGGGGTTTCATAGATTTTTGTCAAAGCATTCGACGATGGTATGTTATGCAACAATTGCGGTAAACGGCATTTGATTCAGGAGTTTCTTTGACACGAGCAGAGCACAGCGGAGCGAGTGTTTAATAAACGAGTAACTTAAAAAGTTTACTGAACGTGTTGCATACTATACTTTTTCTAAGACCGTTAGTTTTTGGGTGCAGTTTCGCAAAACAACACGAATACATTCACTTACATGACCGTCGGAATTGACAAACGTCAAAATTCAAAGCGTCGGAAATATTTCTGAAAGTATCCGATTGCTCCCAAACCTATGCGATAAAATCCCGGAAATGGCCGAAGTGGCTCGGATTCGTGGAAAACGAAACTGACGTGGTAAAATGACCCTTCCCACACCGTAGGTCCGTGTGTAATTAGGTATTTTACCGACGAGAGTAGAAAAATGTGTAGTAAAAAATGAGTAGTAAATTATGAGATATGACCAAAGAGAGGATACCCATAACATCTGATTATGGCCATAAGTAGTCTATATGGACGCGGATGCTCCACGTTCCCAAAGCTCTTTAACATATATATTCACGAGATCATTAAAACATACATTGTTAAATCTTAACAATATGAAATTTGCACAGATGACATCGCGGCCAACACTAATCAAAACTTGAACTGAGGTGGCTTTTTTTATGAAAATCTTTTTATCCAAATAAATAAGAACTAAAACTTCAGATTTTCACCGTGTCTTTATTTTTTACATTTGATAAAGACACGGTGTTGTCGAAACAATTGTCATATCAAAATATATAATTTCGTGAAAATCTGAACTTTTAGTTCTTATTTATTTTGACTAATCAAAACCATACGAACAAAAACAAATGGAAATATTCTCGAAAAAGTAAACTACTTAGAGTACTTAGATTGCCATTTTATACACTTTCGACAGAGACTTCGAAAATAAACTGAACACATCTAGACAATAAATTGCCACCTTAAACGCGAAACAAGAAAATACGCATGAACTAAATTCTATAAAACCCTGGTAATACCAAGAGCATTCTACGGAAGTAAATCAATGAAAACCAAGAAAGTCATCTGCAAGCAGCTGAAACGAAATATCTCCGATAGGTGACGAGATTACTTGGATTACTTTCAAAATACACAATATACACTAAAGTAAATGAAAATAGGAAACCATATAACTAGAATGAAACCACAAAGACTTGCCGCGCAAATTCATAAATACAGAGAAGTCTAGGAAGACCAAGTAAGAGATGATTATCGTAACAGGCACATTAAGCCTAATACTTGAATTGTAGAGAAGAAGAGTACAAGTTTGTGATAAAATACCCAAGTACACACTAATCAAATACCTATTTGCGATCACTTCAAAACGTCAAGTTCATTAAACACTGTCGCGAGCCAATTCGAGCGCTTTCGGTACTCACGGATTGGGTGCGGTTTGTTATTTTCGGAGATATATATTTTAATGTTCTTCAGTTCTGATAGTTCCACAAGTGTTCCAATTTTATTACGTCACTCAATGAATGTTCCATTGTTACTCGGTCAGTCGACCAACCCAACAACCAATCCAAGGATATTTGTGGGTGATCGCGATACCATTAGTGGTAGTGTATTGTTAATACAATTATAGAGGATTTATAAGTCTCTGTCCAGCTCGGAGGAGATAACGCCCATTCCTTAACACGTGACTTAAAATTTAAATTATGGTATATTATATTGTATATTGTCGATTTTAATTTAAGCATTTACAGGGTGAGCGAGTGATAGAGTAAAGTCCATTACGTCATAGGCAAATGGTAAAGCTTAATTAACTTTTATTTTGAATTTGTTTCGAAATGCTTCAACATATAATAATAGTTTTTGCAATATTTTCATTTTTCTAAACTAATACTAGTTTTCAAAAAAAATCTGATAGCTCACATTTAATATTAACGTTATTCGGCATTTCAATTAGATGCTACAGGGTGTTCAGAATAAATGAATGGCCAATTTCACACCATATACATAAGTGACCTACAAGCATTTCCAATTTTAAAGACTATTTAAAAAGAAACCGCTTTATTGAATTTGTTGCTCCAGTATTACGCTAATATTATTATTAAAAATATTTTTATTAAAAAGTCCAGGTGACTATCAATCTTCTGCATTGTGACAGTAAACGTAAATTAAATTAATTTTGCGTGTTTATTTTCGTGTGTTACATTAAAATACTCTTCAAGGTGCAATGTTTATTTCTTCGAATGAAGAATACGCTAATATTCAATTTTTTGTGGATTGTGTAATGGAAACGGACGAGCGGCAGGTAATGAATATCGTCGACGATTTCCCACTCGTAGAGGGCCTTGTAGAAGTGTTTTTCGCAATATTTAATACGATTGATGTTCAACCTTCTACCAGTGTCCAAGAAATAGATAATAGGCTTAACGTAGGCTGGATGAGAGTATGGAGAACTTTACAGAATTTCGGTTTGTGTCCGTACAACATGTTACCAGTACAACCTGCCGACTGCGCTTCAAGACTTGAATTTAGTGGCTGGATATTGAGAACTCAAAGGATTGTTTGATAATATTATTTAGTGATGAAGCCTCATTCTCCCTCGGCCCCAATAACAACAGGAATTTACATTGTTGGTTTGGCGTTATTAATAACCGAATCATTGGTCCGTTAATAATTGAAGAACGTTTCAGGGGCATTCGTTATTTTATTGAAAATTATTTTCCAATATTACTGGATGATGTGCCTCTTAATGTTAGACAACGAATGTGGATTCAGGAGGATGGCGAACCTCCACACTTTGGTCGAAAAGTAACAGAATTTCTTAAGGTGTTAGTAAGGTCGTCTGACCTTAATCCCTTAGATTACTTTTTATGGGAAAGCCTGAAAACTTCAGTTCATGCAAAAAGTATAGAAAACAGACAACAACCGGTAGCTAGAATTATGGATATCACAGAAACTATTTGTGCTGATGAGACATTGTTAGCAATTCAAAGAAGAGTTAGGTTATCAATGCAGCAATTAGACACTTTGGACAACTAATTCAATAAAATAAAAAATTAAAAATTAAAAGATAAAGGGATTTCTTTTAAATGTTTTAAATGTTTTAAATGTTTAAATGTTAAATGTTTAAATTTGAAGTGCTTGTAGTGCAGTTAAATTAGCGTTGCTGGTATTAACTTGAAATCACCCCAACAACACGCTCCCAAGTTATGGCAGACACCCTTTATATTATTATTTTTTCTGAAAGGTCGATCACTTTTATTAGGTATGTAATATAACTTTTTTTAATACTTTACGACTTATTTGAACTTTTCCAATATTTACTCTTCTTTCTTCCTAAGACTGCTACACTATTAGTTGACCATGGCAAAACTATCAACTAACAGGGCTATGTGAATATTAAAAAATGAACATGAGAAAAAACTTTGTTGGAGAAGTAGATCATGCAACAGTGTAAATTCACAGAAATAGTAAATAATATTAAATACGTATTACTAAAAATTAACTCATCTTATTTTGTTTTTTCCTATATTTTGATTGGCGTTCCTTTGCATAAACATATTTTATATATTTTCTGGTGTTCACATAAACACGATCTTTAACATATGAACTTCTCGATAGTGATGCGGAGAAGGTCCATCTTGCTGAAACCACATTTGTTCTTAAAGAAGTTGAAGTAGGTCATTCTGCATTGGATTAAGCTCAGAGAAGGTGTTACAAAGTTACATTTTCTGCAAAAAAGACTACAAAAAAATATATTCAAGCTACTAAAAATAATGAGAAGCTTTATTAATGCTTTTTGGAATAAAAAAAATGTAAATCTCTACCTAAAAAATGAATCTTGGTGGATCCTGAAAACGTGATAACGTTGTTAAATGGGATTGGGGTTATTTTGAACTGTATTCTGTGGTTCGAGTCCCATATACAGGCTATAATTGAGAAAGCACTGCGTAATTTAGAATTTATTCTGAGAACTACCGAGGACTTTAGAAGCACAGCTTCTTCAATTACATTATATTGCATTTTGGTAAGAAGTACTCTAGAAAATTCATCAACGGTTTGGAGTCCAGAGGAAAGATGTTCGTCTTATTACTATTACTTACTACTACGACACTGGAGCCAGTGAAAAGTTAAAATTTTGGATATATATCTTGGGGAGATACCAGAGACTTTCTTAACATCGAAATTGGTTGCTCAAAATTAATGATTTGCCTAACAGATACAAAAATTGTAAAAAGTGATTTTTTTAAGGGACCGTCATCTTTATTGTCGCATATTGTAAGAGCAAATTAAATTTCCTATCGAATGATGTATCATGTCTTAATACCCAAATCGATTTGTTTCGGAAATAAAAGCAAAACACTTTTGGTTAAATGTGTTTTGCTTGCTCGTTGAAAGATAATAAGGTAAGTTTAATTTACTACGAATCACTGAATCCTGCAAAATACCTTTAAACATTAAAAACTATGGAACATTATTTTCTCGAGATTCATAGCTATCAGGAACTTCAGACCTTTTGGTAACAATTAGATGGGGCACGGGCTCACTGCACTGAAGAGGTGTCACGAGAATTATAAGAATTATTTAATGACCATTTGTTTCGACGTTTGCGGCAAGGGTATTGGCTAGCAAGATCGACGTATTTCACTGGATTAGATTTTTACCTATGGGGTGCATTAAAGTCACGTTTCTATTTGACACCGGTGCAAAGCAAATAAGCGTTACATCATCGGATTGTACGATACTTTCAACAAATAGATCCAACGGAGATAAAGAAGGCTACTACTATCAGTCCACTTCAACGGATTTTAAAGTATTTAGAACACTTCCAACACCTAATATAGAAACTTAATTCATTTTTCTATATGCAATTTTCATTTTAAGCACCTAATATTTTATATTGTAAATGGTATTTAAAATGTTTTTCGTAAAATGGTTAGTTTTGGTTAGTAAATCTTTCCTTAAATCTAGCAAATTTTTTCTAGTTCATGTGTTGTAATCAGGCATGTTCTGACTATAATGTGCACAATAAACAGATTAATTAAAACAGCATTAGAGTACTGGTTTCGTTGTAATGTAAGCTGACTGATAATGAACAAATCTTTAATCAACTAGCATTCCGAAAATGAATTGTTTAACATAAGATGGATATTTAATCCAGTTTTCTGAGAAACTTGCTTTTATTTGAGAAACCAGACGATTTAGGTATAGGGACATGAAGCATCATTCAAAAGGGAATTTAACTTGCCCTTAGAAAATGTGATAATATATTAAAAAATGCACCTTTCTCCATTAATTTGTGTTGATTAACCGTGTATGATATAGAACATTATCCCCCCACGCAACCAAAAATTTAACTTTCTATTGGCTCCAGTGTCATCGTAATAAAAAATTAATTGAAGGAATATTTTGTTCGAAAAATAAATTAATAAATCAATTTCTCGAAAACCACTAAATAAAGGTATAAGAACGTATTATTCAAATGCAATCATAAAATATTACGGGATCGGAAAATGGAATAATATACATGATGTCCCATTTAAAATTTCAATTTTTATCCTATTTTTTCGAAGAAGCGACAACGTCGCAGCGTTTCAAATATTTTCGATCGATAGAGTATCGCCGCTTATGGAACTAACCAAATTTTCAGAACAATAGATTTTACTGTTCGCCGTAAATGTTTAAGGTATCATCAACCATGAAACACCCTATATGTATAAAACATCTTCAAAACTATTAAAAAACTTATTAAAATCAGAATTAATATACATGTAAATATGCGTAAGAGAGTGGGAGAAGTAAAGCTCAATAAGAAAATTGTGGAGACGCTTCCAACTGATGAAGGAAAACTGATTGTAGACAGAAAAGATATCAAGCAGACTTGGGAAAAGTATATAAAACAATTACTTTCTGATGAATAAGGAATCTGGAGCCACTATCATGACAGATGAAGTTAGAACCACCCCTAACACATTAAAAGAAGAAAAGGCTCCGGGACCAGATGCATTCAGAATTTTATAAACTTTTTGGTGACGAATTTGTCAAATTCCTGAATAATACATACAATAACATCTGCAACACTGGGAACATTCCAAAAGAATGTCTCATCTAAGAATTTATAGTACTGTTAAAGAAACATGGAGCAAAAACATTGGTGACCATCGAACCATCAGTCTTATGAATCACTTGCTAAAGTAACACTCCAGATTGGATTTATGAAGAGTGTGGGCACAATGGATGCTCTGTTTTGTATGTACGTATTGTTCCAACGTTGAAGAGATATGATTTCTGTAATTTTTCTTATTTTATCGACTATCAAAAAGCGTTCTACGAAATAAAGCATGAAAAGATGATAAAGGTTTTGAGAAACGCGGGAATGAATGATAAAGCTCTGAGAATTATCAGGAACCTTTTGGAATCAGTTCATATTACGAGGGGTCAGCCCATATTATGTCGGCAAACCGACGTGATCAACATTCTTGGAGTTAGGCAGGGGTGTATCCTTTCGCCACTCATTTTCAATCTGTACTCAGAAGAAATCTTCAGTGAATCCCATGGGAATACCGACAAGATGGGGAACAATTGAACAACATTCAATATGACTTGAAAATCAACATTAGCAAAACCAAAGTCATGGTAAATAAGTGGAAGACGAACTTATCATTAACAACACACAGAAAATTAGAATGAGAATATTTCAAAATTTTTTAAAAGTCACAGTCTCAACATAGACATCACACTCACTTTTCTATGGAATTGAGTCATGCACATTAACCGAGACAACCGAAAAAAAAACTGGAGGCGGCCTTCGAAATGTGGCTTTACAGAAGAATATTAAAGGTTTCATGCGTAGACAGAGTGACCAACAAAAAAGTATTAAAATAAATGCAAAAGTGCTTAGAAATAATGAACACCATCAAGAGAAGAAAACCTTAGACATATTATGAGGAAGGAAATTAAATGCGGCCTTTTAAATGCCGTTTTCAAAGATAATGTCTATGGTAAAAGAGGACCAGGAGTTAGAAGAGATCATATAACCCAATTAATCAGCGCAGCCCTGAACAAAGTGGTTATAGCTAGTATAGGTTGATCACCAATATTCAGAACGAATAGGCAGCTGAGGAAGAAGAAAGATTACCCGTGATAATGGTATTATTTTGTACCTCAATTTTTACTCACAAATATTGTTTATATGTAGTCTACCGACTCTGATAACTGATAAATAATAAAAAATTGCACCATCCACAACATCGAAATATTTTCCCGGCACATGGTGTTGAAATTGGTAGTGACACCTGAGATTAACATGGGCAATATGAAGATCCATTTTCTCTTAAAGAGATGGAAGTACATACGGGGGAAGGAACATTGAACCAATATTTGAAAATTGATGCAAGTCTACCCAAAGGAAATCGGGAAAGAGCATGCCAGCTGCTGCTAATTAAAACTATAGGTATAGAAAAAACTTTCGGCAGTAAGCCGGAAGAATCAAAATCATAAAAAAAAGCAAAAAACTATTCAGCCTGCTCAACTTACTATAATAAAATCAATGAAAATATAAAAATAAAATGAATTGATTAGCTAAAGCAAAAGAAATGTAGCAAAATTTAGATAAAATATCACATAAGTTTAAATAATAAATTTTCCAAAAAATTACTACAACCAAGTACACAGTCAAATAATAACGCAGTATTAACGTTTACATAGAAAAAATCACACAAAGAAATAATATTCCCATAAAAACAAATACTGGTACTGAAAAATTCTAGAGAAAATATATTAAACAAATGAAGTATATTTTCCTGTTATTTTCATTGCCTAACACCAAACCACTGCTCCTCGAAAAACAATAATTTCATTAAACTGCTAATACCAACCTTCTTCAAAGTCAAAACTGTGTACATGATCCAAACCTTTATCCAATACAGTCCACTCCGTCTTCGATAGACGCCAAAGAGAGGCACGGGATTTTTGTCCAAAACACGCAATAAAATTATAAAAAACGAAGAACCCACCAAAACACATAGACTAGTAAAAGCAAACATTTTTACACAAAATGATTCGATATGCACTCTAAACCAAACTTATCTCCGAGACGAATTGATAAAGTAATATAATTAGCACAACTTCTGTTCTAAGTTCAATTGCCGACGGCAATACAATAAAATATTTCCGCCAAAAGTACTATCGAAAAATGGACAAAAAAAGTATGCCGAAACCCGGGATCGAACCAGGGACCTTTAGATCTTCAGTCTAACGCTCTCCCAACTGAGCTATTTCGGCGTTAAAAGCTTTAGCCATAATCTACAATTTACTACGGAATATTTATTGCGCATTAAAAAAATTGCCAGTTCAATAATTTTTTGAATTTTATAAAATCAATAGACTTTGGAGCCTAATGACCGTGACAACCATGAAAATAATTATTAACCAAAATAATTACAAATTAAAAATAAGGAAATTGACGACTGACGTACCGGATCGAGGCTAGCACCGTGTGACGTCGCACAGTGGAACGAGCTTATAGAGTAGCTTAAACATCGAATTTTTTTATGTACATATATTTTTAACTAACAAACCGACTTTAATTCATGAACTCTGAAAATGAAAGATACCATAGATTTATTTACAAGGCAGTCCAGTCGAGGAACAGATTGACTTAATTATCAATTATAAAAGTCTAAAATCAAGTATACTGTGATTTAACAAAACGTCAAAAATAGAAATGATATAAATTTTGTCCAAAAATATTAGATATTAATTTGAAATGTTTGCAAATAATAACAGATATATTATTGCTGAAAGAAGCACCAAACAACATATAGCCAACATATTTGACAGGCAGTTTAGAACCGCTTTCCATCCTTGGTCGCCAGAGCAGAATAGGAGTGTATTCAGACAGGATTTTTTTCTAATTTTCTGCAAAAAATAACTCACCCCAATGATAAAACTGATACAATAATTAAATAATAATAATAATAATATTTTTTGCTTTCTTAAGACTACGTCATGAGTGATTTTTTTTAATTCTACAATGTATTTGCTTCAATTTGATAATTCAAAAGATTTAGTTTGAACAAAAAACGTAATAATAAAATTTTGCTTTCATAGCACACAATAGGTATTGAATTACTTAACTTAATATTCGATGGAATTCCGTTGCATAAAAACAATTGCAAAATTGCAAATTTTGTATCAGAATTTCAAACTACAAAAAATGGAATTCTTAAAGTTACCTTCACCTTCACAGACGTCTAACTAGAGAGATCGCATCAGTGATTCATAAAAACGCCATTATTGTGATCACAATATATGGATTTAGGCAAAGAATGAGTGCGGTGAGGGGTGTTGCCTAAATATCAATGTTTGCTATCGTAATCATGTACAAACACGTGTGGTAAACGCTATTTGAGTCACCAGTTTATTTGGCACGAGCGGAGCGTACCGGAGTGCTAAAGTCAATTCTATTTTTAGTTCTATTAAAGTTTCGTAAGGCGAAGTCGCGCTGTTTCATAATTAATTTCAAATTATATGTTAAATAGAGTAGTTTGTGTTTGCTAACTCTTATTTCTATTATTGGAGCATGACGATCGTAAATTGATAAAATGATGTTAAATATCTCAACTAGTTGGTTACTATTACGTTCTCTAGCCAAGAAAGCTGTGCCAAATCGACATTAAATTTTTCTTGATCAAAATTTCCGAAAGACCTCAAATTTCTTAATTAAATAATTCTGAACTGGAAGAAACATACAAAAGATTAATTTAATATATTTTGGTATATTCAAATTTTCAACGTGTTGGCTTTCGACGAACCTTCCCCAATAAAACTTTAACGATGTTATTAGCAATTGTTATATATTAGCTACAACAACGGTCTGGTGCGCAACGCTCATCTCATCAAGTTCAAAAATTGAAATCTAGGAATTTTTGTTAGAAAATAGTACTTATTTTGAATTCAGTTACAATAAAACGCAGCTTCTTGAAGTTGCTATATGCTATTAAAAAACAGTATGTATGCGATAAATTGATTGAACAGGCTGGGGATACTGTTTTCCGTCTTCCTTCATATCATTGCATATTTAACCCTACAGAGCATTTGTGAAACCAAGTAAAATCAAACGTCAGAGCAGAAAATATTACTCTTGAATAATATAAAATTGATAAAAAATGTAACTAATAACATACCAACGGAGAGCTGCAAAATTCAGTACAGCACATTATAAAAATTGAGGACCCTTGCATTTCTACACAAAACAACATAAATTAGAATTAGATTTAGACCTTAAGAATAAAAATGTAATTATGTATAGATATTCCTAGCTATTATATATATGTATCACTGATATTCATGTCTAAATGACATTCAAATTAAATTGTTTAAGACAAAATACAAAAAATTCGAGAAAAGAGAAAAAAAAATTCAGAAATGTATGCTGGTCATGCAAAACAAAAACCATTTGGAGGATAAACATAATTAAAGATTAATAATATCATATAATCCAAAAAAACACAAAGAAAATTTCTGTTGCGGCGACTTTGAGAAAAGGAAGTTACTTCGGATGAGCCAGTAACGATTTTTATGAAATTGGTTAATTTATAATTTCGCGTTGGATCTATACTGAAACTTCAGAGCAACGATACACACTTTTTGCGACTGTTCTCGGAATCTATTCTATGCTGTGGTTTTTAAAAGGGCGGAAAAATCTGGCGAGGCTATAGTAACATAGTGGATTCAATGCAAACAAGAGTCTCAGGAATTGAGTCTGTGAAATTCGTGATCTTATGTTTAATCCTGATGATCTTTCCTGACGTGGATATTCTCCGAAACATCTTTTAGAATCACTCTCTCCCTCCCCCCCCTCTCTCTCACTCACTCTCTCTCTTTCTCTCTCTCTTTCCGCTTCTCCCCCTTCTCTCTCTCCCCCCTTATCTTAAATTCATCATTAACCCTTAAATATAAATACTTTTTAAAGTTTAAAATATTTAACTTGCTAATACAAAGTTTTCAAAGTCACAATTATGCATGCAAAATTTTAAGGATAAATACCAAAATTTCATTTTCGTTTTTTGCTTCTCCTGAAAAGTTATGCTTTTTGCAGTTGGGTAACTTTTCTGCAGGAGCAGAAAATTCAATTACTTTCGAAAAATTGAAAAAAAAATGTTGCCGAAACCCGGGATCGAACCAGGGACCTTTAGATCTTCAGTCTAACGCTCTCCCAACTGAGCTATTTCGGCGATGAAGCATTTTTTGCTTCACCGCTTGTTGCTCGGTTCTTTACACAGAGATCTATTATACCTACAGCAAAGGTTAATGGAAAGTATTGACGATAAACTGAAAACGACAGATTTGGCTTTTCGCCAGTAAATCCAAAGCGGTTCAATTGACAGCTGTCAAAATCTGACATTGTTAGGACACTTTAAGATAGCGCGTATGAAGTGCCTTAATCGCCTTTTGTTATCCTGCAACCCGCCTAATGTCCGCCATATTTAATTTTTAGATTTTTTTAAAAAGCGTAAAATATCCAGTTCGGTAATGTTTCACAAGTGCACAAAAGATTTATTACACTCAGTAAAGTTAGGTCTTAATTATTTGATATGATTTATAATTTTATAATACATAAATAAAAAAAATCATGGCCTACTGATAATTATACCCAATTTTACGAAGTGTGATAAAATCTTTTATGCCCTTGTGAGACATTACCGAACAGGAAATTTGACGACCATAAAAAAAGGGAAAGTTAAGAAGGGTTGCTCGCATTAAAAGTTGTCTCAATAATGTCACATTTTGACAGCTGTCAAATTAAGAGGTATTTAAATGATATTGACCAATTGACCGATGGTAAATCTCTAGCCGGTTATTAAATGCACTAAGTTTTCTCTAAAACTTTTCCCACTTAACCCTTGCCGCAGGTATAACAGAAGCGGAGATCCCTGTATAGGAAAGCTAATCAGTGTTGTATACTTTATTGGGCATGATTGAAATCTTGATTTTTACAACCCCTATTTTTACAATTTTCGTATATTACCAATAATTAGAGTCAATAGTACATATTTTTAGATTTGCATGAAAACTTTCTAATTACCTTCTTAAATACAATAAGTTAGACTCCAGACAATTTTTCCTAAAAACAAAAATATATTTACTCTGTAATTAATCCTAGAAAGCTGGTCTGCCCCTTTTAATTTCGATGTCATACAAAACCGCTACTATATTGGATATGACGTCAGGAGATCATTTTATATTCTTTGATCTATAGTTTGCGTTTCATCTTATTCGTTGGGGTTTGTGTGACGTTGTTTGTAATACTTCCAAATTTCCACTACGACTGAAGGAGTTATAAAGGCACAATAGTAGATATATAGTGCCGATATAAGCAACAAAAACAGTAAATAACCTCAATTTCCTAACCCCCCCGCAGCGGGGGCCCCCCGCGCGTGGCGTCCTAGTGTCCTCCCTGTCTACCAGAGTGCGCTCCGCCCCCCACCCAGCTTGTGTAGCGTCCTGTTTTGCCCCGGTTCCGCCCGTCGCTGCTAGATGTCGCGCGCTCCGACCGTCGTAGGCCCCCCCCGGTAGAGGGCGGTGACGGTGCGGCGCGGTGACGCGGTGGAGGATAATTAAATAAACTTAAATTTTAATATATTTTATTTTATTTTATTCATAAAATTGGTCTGGCGAGGAGTTTCGTCTTCTTTTTATGTCGATTCAGTCGACCATCCCATTGTTCCTGTTCCTTGCGTTGTTCTTCTTCCCGTTCCCGGAGGAAATCTAAATACGAAGTGCACTCCTCGCCGTCCCACTCCGTCGACCACCCACCCGGGTACTCCTGCTGCTCCTTTGTTTCTTTTGATCCACCGGGTTGCTCCTGCTGCTGGTGATGTTCCCTTGTCGTTGTATGTCGTACTGGGAATTCTAGCCCCCGGTACTCTTTGTGTGATTTGAAAATGTGACGCCCTAAGCGATGCGCCAACATAATATGCGACTTGTCATACGGACAAACTGCGATTTTTTCTAGAACAAAACAAAGTATGATATGTAGCGTTTCCTATAAAACACACATTTTTTTTAAACAAAACTTCCAAAAAGGGGGATTATCAAATAATTTTAAAAATTGTTTTTTAAGTTATACGCGCATACCAAAATTCACGTTTCAATTCACTGTCATTTAAATGATATTAAAAAAGTGTTTTATTGTCAAAAGGGCAAAATGCAATTTTTTAGTACAAAAAATAAACAAAAATATGTATATATTTCGCGTTTTCCCCATAAAACAAACATTTTTGAAACAAAACTTTCAGTAAGTGGGGGGTCATCAAATAATTTTAAAAATTGTTTATTTTTTAAAAGCCAAAATTCCCTATTAACTGTCATTTAAAAGATATTAAAAACACTCAATTTAATTCGATTATTATTGTCAAAAGGGCAAACTGCAATTTTTTAGTACAAAAAATAAACAAAAATATGTATATATTTCGCGTTTTCCCCATAAAACAAACATTTTTGAAACAAAACTTTCAGTAAGTGGGGGGTCATCAAATAATTTTAAAAATTGTTTATTTTTTAAAAGCCAAAATTCCCTAATAACTGTCATTTAAAATATATTAAAAACACTCAATTTAATTCGATTATTATTGTCAAAAGGGCAAACTGCAATTTTTTAGTACAAAAATAAAACAAAAATATGTATATATTTCGCGTTTTCCCCACATTTTTGAAACAAATTTAAAAATTGTTTATTTTTTAAAAGCCAAAATTCCCTTTTCTATTCACTGTCATTTAAAAGATATTAAAAACACTCAATTTAAATCGGTTATTATGCAACGTAAAAAAGATGAGTATCATATTTTAAAAACAGGTAGAAACTAACCAAAAAAGTGATAACCCAAACTGAAACCCACAAGAAAAGATGCGCACTGTATAAAGGTAATTAAAATATAAAACTTACCAGTTGTAGGGTCGTAGGGAAATGGACATCGCACTTCTGTATTCATTGCACTGAATATAGTCTATAATACACATGCAACGTATTTATACACATGCACTCCCTTCCATGGTTGAATTAAAAGTCGGAAGGTCTTCTACCCACGGTTGTCGCCAGACAACCGTGCAGGTAGGAGTCTCAGGGCCAACACGCTTTCACACGGGAACGACTTGAGACGCAACCGCTTCGGACGTTGGACGAACGTATGTTGCCGCAAAAGATCAAGGCCAACTTGCTTTCATTTTTTATGGGATGTGGAATTTCAAAACGCGCCGAGTCTAAATGTCAAGTTGTTTTGCTTGTTGAGAATAATAATTAATTGCCCGTTTATATTTGCTCCGTGGGATTAACGTAATGGGAAAAATTTGTTGCAACGCATGTGGAGGTGTCTTTGTTAACTTTTAGAAAGTATTCTCGCACCGTATAAATACATCTCATTTTTCTCTGTTTTGTCAGTAGTTGTTTTTGGTATTATTCGTGCAACGTGGAAGCTAACTTAGTGGTTTGGTGTTCGTACAAAAAAGCAGTAAGTACCTTTTTTATTGTTTTATTTTAATTCTTTAACATTTGTTATTATTTTATAAAGGTCTTAAAGATCATCTTAGTACTCTCAACCCGTAACCGCAAATAGAATAGCAGCAATCTTAAGCGTAAGTTTTTTTATTTTTTTTAATTTTGAGATAAAATATTTAATAATAATTTATAGATGGACTTAAGTCAACTGAATCAAACCTGTCTTGCAGAAAGTGATTTTGAGCAGCCGATTGTCAAACTGCATGAATTGCCGATAGGCAAAATTGTTAATACAAAATTTGGCAATTCCGTGTTGCTGCAATTAGAAAATTCCGTAGTATTTCTTCCTACTCGCGTGACAGAAGCTTTCCGTCCGAGACTAGAACACTTTGCGTCGGGGCAGTACAAACTGGTCTACGAGGGATCCAAAGATATTGGAAAGCCCAACTCTTTAAAGAAATTCAAAATAATTCAAAATTAATCAACATATTATACAGGGTAAGTCTTATTTACTGTTATATATTTAATAAACCACGATGCGCGTAAAGCAGATCATTCATAGAGCGCAAATCTTAATTTTAACCTTACAAAAATTAAAAAAGCATATTTCCGACAAGTTCACTCTTAGAGATAGTGATGTGTGGCTTAGGAGACTTAATAAAAATATTGAATCTTGCAACCAAATCGTTTATAACGAAAAGGATTTATCTATTGGGTTAAAAAGAAAATTACAAACTACAATTCAACATCTGAAAGCTATTAGAAAAATTATTCTTAACTATCAACATAAGCATTTTGGATTGGGATTACAAAGTAGTAGCCGCGAGACAAACACAAATGAAATGGTTGTATGGGAATCGGTAGCGTCGTGTTTCCAGGGAAGAGTTCAGACCGGTGTCATAATTAATTTACTTCATAAAGATTTAATTCAATTTTTAAACGATTGTCGTCCAATTTTTCAACAAAAAATTAGTCAAATTTTAAAGAAATTTTTATTGCTGAAAGTAAATACCACATTTCGCGGTGAATTTATTAAGGCAAAAAATGATGTCCAAGGCGAAGTTGATGTTAAATATCTGAGCACCGGAAATGCTGTAGTTGATTTAGGAACAGAATTGAATGATTGGTTTGCTGAAAATGTGCAAGATAAAATTTTAAATCAAATGTCAGAGTTTCAGGAACGTGATTCCGGGTGGGCTTTAAATAATATTATTTATTTAGAGATTAACATTAATAAATTTAAAATGGGTAACGGATAGCGTGTTTTTATTGGTCAGTTGTATGCGGACTCTTTCCAGCACGTTTTCGTCAGTATTTACCCTCTTCATATCCAAACTACAAAAGTGTTTTGAAAACTGAAAATTTACAAACACCTATGGAAATGAATAAAATAAACAAATTTGAAAAAGACAATGATATTTCCATCAATGTTTATATCTTAGAGTTTAATAAAAATGAAAAAACTAGTTTTTATTCCGTGTTACCTGCACGATTAACAAAAGAAAAACGCGAAAAACATTCAAATTTGTTGTTAATACAAAATAAATATTATCCAAAAGTTAATGATTTTGATCCTGATCCGCAAGATAATGATCATGAAGAAATAAAAGATCACTATTGTTACATTAAAAATTTGTCTCGATTAGTTTCCTCACAGCTCAGTAAATATAATCACAAGAAATACATTTGCGATAGGTGTTTGAATTATTTTAATAACGAAACTCGTCTACATGACCACGAAACAATGTGTTCCAGTTTCAATGAGTATAAAGTGTCTTTTCCCAAATATGATTACGTTGAATTTCGAAACCATATATATAAACAAAGGACTCCGTTTGTAATTTACGCCGATTTTGAGAGTCAATTGAGAAAAGTAAATTTGAAAATTTCAGATAAAACCTCGAAATACCAAAAGCACGAAGCTTACAGTGCTGCATATTACTTTAAATGTTCTTATGATGATTCAATATCATTTTTCAAAAGTTATCGTGGTCTAGATTGTATTGATTGGTTCGTGGAGGAAATATCTAATTTATCAAAATTTGTTCTTTCAAAATTTAAGGATATTATACCAATGGATAGTGAAATTAGTCTAGATCAAAGGTCGAGCCATTGTCATATTTGTGAAAAACCTTTTTTAAAAGAAGATGTTATTGTTCGTGACCATGATCATTTTACTGGTAAATTTAGAGGTTTTGCCCATCAGGCTTGTAATTTAAATTTAAAAAAAATATTTGTAGTGCCCGTAGTATTCCAGAACCTTTCTGGATACGATAGCCACTTCCTGCTTCCGGTTTTAGCAAAAAAAAGCTGTGTATCCATAGTTTCGGTTAATAAGGAAAAATACATCTCTTTTACATATTTCGAACCTGATTATAACATAAAATTTAGATTTATAGATTCGTTTAGATTTTTGGGAGCATCTCTGGATAATTTAGTTTCCAGTATGGATAAAAATGAACTATATATTTTAAGAAAAGAATTTTCCGATCTCGACGAATCAAAATTAAATTTACTGTCGCAAAAAGGTATTTTTTGTTACGATTACATCGACCACATAGACAAATTAAATGAAACAACTTTACTCCCGATTGAAGAATTCTATACTAAATTAAGTGAAAGCAATATTAGTGAAGAAAAATATTCCCACGCACAAAGTGTTTGGCAGTCGTTTGAAATAAAAAATTTAGGCGAGTATTCAGATTTGTATTTAAAAACCGACGTTATTCTTCTGGCAGATATATTCGAAAATTTTCGAAAAACTTGTATGGCAACACACTTTTGGGATCCGGCGTGGTATTTCAGTATGCCCGGGTATACATGGGATTGCATGCTTAGATTCACAAAATGTCGTTTAGAACTTTTGCGCGACATTGACCAAATTATGTTTATCGAGCGGGCTATACGAGGTGGAATTTCGGTGTGTGTTGGTAGATATGCGGAGGCCAACAATAAATATATCATGTACTTTGACGTCAATAACCTCTATGGCAAGGCCATGTGCGAGCCTCTTCCTTACGGAGGATTCGACTGGATGTCTCATCAAGAGATTGATTCATTTAATGTCATGAACATTCCAGATGAATCTTCCCAAGGATATATCCTAGAGGTAGACCTGGAGTACCCGCAGAAATTACATGACACACATAGAGATTTTCCATTTTGTGCCGAACATCGAGTGCCCCCCAATTCAAAGTTACCAAAACTAATGACCACTTTGTATAATAAAGAAAAATACGTCATACACTATCGCAATTTAAAACAGGCTCTCAAAAACGGTCTCGTACTAAAGAAAATTCACAAAATATTAAAATTTAACCAATCTCGTTGGTTGAAATGTTATATCGATCATAATAATAAATTAAGAACCCAAGCAAAGACAAAATTTGGTATAAATTTATACAAATTGTTTAATAATGCCGCTTACGGTAAAACAATGGAAAACATTCGCAAGCATCGTATTGTTAAATTTGTTAAAGCGTGGGATGGTCGCTACGGTGCGAAAAATTTAATTTCTAGTCCTAGATTTCACAGTAGAACCATACTTGATAACAATTTGTTGCTTATAGAATTTAAAAAATCGGAACTTTGCTTTAATAAGCCACTTTATATTGGAATGTCCATATTGGATTTGTCGAAAACGACCATGTACAAGTTTCATTATAATTACATGCTTCCAAATTTGGGTCCCGAAAAATGTAAAATTCAATACATGGATACGGACAGTTTCATTTATAATATCAAATGTTATGACGCATATGAAAGCGTTATTAAGGGCGATTTAACAAAATTTGACACGTCTGATTATCCTAATGACAATCCCTATAATATACCGCAAATCAACAAAAAGGTTTTGGGGTTTTGGATGAAGGATGAGACTAATGGCACCATCATTAGTCATTATGCGGGGTTAAGGTCGAAAATGTATACTTTCAAAATTTTAACGGGTTCGGTAGTTAAAAAGTCAAAGGATATTCAGTACAATATTGTAAAAAATAAAATTTCATTTGATGACTACGTAGAATGCTAACAAATTTTAGGGAAAAGTACGCCACTCAACGAACCATTCGTTCATACACTCACAATGTATTTAGCATCGAACAAACAAAAGTTGCCTTGAGTCCTTTAGACGATAAACGTTATCTTTTGCCGAATTCATATGAAACGCTTCCGTGGGGACATTATAAAGTGCCGTAATTATTTTTTAATATATTTTTGTTACAGATTATGGTCAAACAACTTACATTAGAAAGCCTTTGTATTATAACAATTTGCGAAAATATTAGGTGTAGTGCTGATTTTTTGCGTGAGTCACCTTTGCCTTGGAAACTAACGATACTAATATTTAAATATTATTCGAAATATAGATGGAGGTACCTTAAACAATTAGCGCTCCAGTCTGATGGCAATTCTTTATTAAATTTAGAATTCATTCTGTTGAATAAGAGATTTGGATCGTCTTACAGAAATAGCATTTTAGCAACTCCAAACATTGATTTTGACGGAGAATCCGCTTACTGTTTATGGGTCAGTTATTACAGGATAAAATATTCGGAAATTTTAGTTTGTAAATCTTGTCACTTTATATTTCAAGTAGTTAAAAAATTTAAAAAGAAAAATTTTAGACTTGGATCACTATCATTTACAGCTGGATATAAATAATTTGAATGATGTATATCACGATAAACAATTTTGGTGTCAAAGCTGCTTTGAAGAAGTTTTGTTCACTGTAGAAACTGAAGATGAATGTAATTTAATGCTTCACGGTGAGGGGAAATATGGAAAAAAGTTACGCTTTTCTGATAGCACATTGAACTATTAATACTGTGGTTTTATTATAAAATATATAACTGTAGATAAGGCTTTTATGTATTGATTGTATTCCATTGTATTGCAACAAGAATAAACATGTATATATTTAGACGCTATTTTCTTTTTTACCACCACCACAACACCGCATAATAATTACACAGAAGTTTGTAATTGTATAATTTATTTATTATATACATTATTACAATTTTACAATTTCGTTAAATGCTAAATTATTAAATTGTTCTAGTTTTCTTTTGCACTCTTGCGCTTGCAGCCGCGCCACTTGCAAGTCTGTATTAAAAAGCGCAATTTGTGTTTCAATTTCGTTGATATTGCACTCTAATCCCGACAACTGAGACGCCAAGTTTCTTTTTAAATTGAATGCCTCACAAATGACACTTTTTTCTCTACCGTCCGTGAACACTTCGAGCCAATCAGTGTGGTAGTTTTCTTCTTCTTCT